GCAGCGGAACAAAATATATTGCACTATGCCATACCAGAAGCACTATGTAAAGCTTTAGTGACACGCACTTAATGCCTTGATATTGCTTGTTTGTATTCTGTGTAGAGGAGTGTGCTTGAACAAACTTGCTTTGACGAAAAGCAGCCGGCATTTCAAAAGCGGGGCGAAGGAAGCCTTGCCGTACCCTTGCAAAGGTACTTTGATGCAAATACACTCAAATCTCATTATATCAAAAAATTTATTACAAAGGTTTGTCTTAACACTATCTGTTGCTAGACTACTTTTCATTTACTCGGTCATAACTGATATCTCGTCCATCTGGATTCATTATATCGAGGTTTGAGTGTAGTTTGAAGAGCTTTACATAGCTTTGCAGCCTGGAATGTAGTCTGACGACTAGAATGTCATCCCATGATGTTGCACGATGTTGCCAGATGCAGGGAAAAGTGAGCAGTGAGCAAGTTTGTTGGGTTTGTTTAGAAATTAAATCCACGTGGAACAGCTTGTAGGGTTACACATTGTCCTCCAATGTCGTTATGTACATTTGGTAAACGAGGTTACCACGCTGCCTACGTTAAGCTTAGCGTGGGCGTCCTGAACTAAAGTTTCTTGTGTGGAAACACCGGTGCTATAGCGCTAACCACAATGTGCGAAAAAGGTATGGCCACATTTACAAAGGAAAATCTCAGTGTATGCTTGTCAATATTTCAGCATCCTGTTTAGTCTTCCCTCAATTTCGCACTTTGTTCTGTGTTGCTTTAGTGCTTTTCACCATCTCCACATACATTTACTAGCGCATGATTGCAATATGACGTGTTTCAAGTTTAAAACTGGTGCCAAACTCTTCCTTTTTTTTTTTGAGTATCTCTGGATTTTTCGTCCCTTTTTTCATGACAAAGACATCAGTGAAAATCTTGGCCCTGTGGAGCTTGTATGGCGTTTGTTGCTTTCTTTTTCTGCCCTCTCTGAACAAACTTGCCAAAATGTCTTACTGTTTCATGGTGGCAAATTTATTTTCTTCATCTTTGTTTTATATATGCATGCATGTATGTATACGGTGCACTTAAAAAGTCAAATTGGTATTTATTACGTCGCTCTCTAGTTTCCTTACGGAAACATCAAATTGCGCATCGTTTCTCTTGTTAGTTTGTTTCCGAGTGGTTTCATAAATTCTGCTCGTATTCTGTTTCCACAGTTGAGGCCACCGAGATTTTAATCATCTCATGCTAATTTTACTGTATTGTAAAAGCCATTTGTTGCACCTGCAAACACTTTGTACAGTCTTCAAAGAAAAAAAAAAAAAGGAAACATTGGCTTTCTACTTACTATTGAAGTGTTGCATTGTTGTGCACGATTTCTAGAATTCGAAGTGGAGTCATTGAACTCTGTCTTTTTCACGACCTGCATTTTCTCGCACGAGTGTCATTTTGAATACCTGACATCGATGTAATGAACATTACGGTGTCTCGTCACAGACATTGCTAGAGTGCCTGTATCGTGTGACTCGAAAGACATGTATATTTTGTTATATTTTTGTTTTCAATTTTTTCTTTATTTCAATCAAGGTCTTATGAATACTACCTTGATAGTTCTGTGCTATTGAGAAGCAGCGAATTAACGCATTCAAAGCAAGAGTGTGTTATGCAATGGAGCCATAGCTTACAGGGGACTAACTTTATGTGCTGCTTTAGGCTTTCTGTCGCTTTCCTCTTTTTTTTCTTCAAATCTGCCTGCTGTAAACTTTGATAGAACGAGAAATAAATATGCACATCTTTTTGCCACAGAAGTATCCGTGCACATTATTCATCAAGAAGTCCATCAGTGTACATCTTCATTTGAAATGTTGAAACAGCCAAAACTTCTTAGTGATCACATGTTGCAGCTGCCTGCATCAACCAGTTTCAATGTTTCTAGTATTTTTTTTATTGCTGTACCTCTTGTCTTCAACCAGATGGTACGTTTGCAATGTTTCGTAGCCGGTGCAAGTCAAGACTTAAAGAAAGTGTAATGTCTTACAGTTTTGCGCATCTAACAAACTGTTTATGAGCAGTTTTTCATAAAGCGCTCATGGTATGCTGTTTGCTTTTCTCTCTTTTCAAGAAAAAGCTTTTGCTTTCATGCATAACTAGTGCATATTTCTTATATGTTTTTGATTGATTCATCGCAATGAGGTTTTACGGGAAGCAGATCGTTGCATTAGTTATCATTGAACTGTCGCCTTATCGTTGCTTTCATTTTATTTACTAGGAGCCCTTTCATTCAGTCGTGGTGTTGCAGACTGACAGCTGAAGTTACTAGTATTTAAGATACCCGATTGAATTCTAATTCTAGTGAAGTCGAGAAGTAAGACTCATTTCAGCAGGTTTACATGGAGTTGCAATTCTTTTTGCAGAATGTTCACGTCTGTCCATCTGGTCTTAGACTTATGAGTCGCATACTTGCCCAGCAGAAAACTCTGATCAATAGAGCATGACGAGACAGCTGCAAAAGGCATGGGGAGGGGGCCTGATCCTTTGTACAGTAGCGGCTATCTGCCGTGCCCGTTACAAGACAGGACTCAAAGTTGCACAACTTTGTTGTTCTTGTGGATTTGTGCACTGTATTCCTGCATGCAGGTTCACAAACACAATTGCTAAAGGTCAATTTGACAAACATGAAGATCACTGCAAATTTTGTTAAATCTGAAGTTCTTTCTTGTCCAAAAGGTCATCGTGGTTCCCTATGGGAATTGGGAAGACAAAATTTTGTAACTGCGAAGGCTTAGAAAGAAAAAAATAAAATGTTTCATGAATCAGTGTAGAAATCATTGTATCATAATTGCAAATGATTAGACTGAGAAAGCCTTCTTCACTCGAATGGATTTATGCTTCAAGCTGCTACCTTCAACTTATTTTCTGTGAAGATAACCTGCACTTTGTCGCGGTAGTATCGTGTAATCGCTGAGCAGTGGTGAATATGGCCTTCCTGTGGTTTATTTTAGCCACAGTTATGTTTGATAATGGTGCACCTTGCATGGTCTCTGAAGTCTTGCGTACCCTTTATAGCTATTTTACTTTCTATGAACGACATTACTTTCTACAACGACATGGTGTGCATTTCTTCAGCACCATAAGTGGGGCTCCGATGGTTACTGTGAACAGTGGCAGTTCCACTATTCTACTGTGAGATGACCCTGCTGTCTCGCCGCTGCATCAAATTGGCAAAGCCACTATCTCTAGGATGCATTGTGTCATGATCGCTTATCTCCCTATGTACATCACTTGTGTATCACTGTGGGGTATTATTTAACGACTCTTGGACAGTTTTTGTGCTCTGTGCCCTATGCTCAAGTCAGTTAAGAATTTGTGTGATGTCATTGTTATGGTATTCTTTGTCGTCTCATGCATCTGTTGCACAAGAGAGTTGCTTTCAGAATGGGCTTATGAGAGTCTCTGGTCTGATGTTTCTGTAGGCTGTGGAAACCTAGCTGGTCTTTGGAGAAATTTAGGCTGTGGAGACTTTTAGTGAAGTGTGTGCCATGACTGATAACAGTTTCTTGTATAGCTGGTTATTGCATTAAATCAATAGGTTACTGTAGAGTAGGAACTGTGCATTACTTTTTGAGGCACCTGACTCGTGAAACGTTTTGCTGCGAAAAAACTTTCTCAAGCCATTACCTGTTGTGCTCGTTTAGACGCCCTTTTTACATTTCCTCATGTAGGAGAAATGAAAGGTTAATTGAGCTACTCTGGATTATGAGACTTGTTTTCAAGCAACATATTGGTGCTATTATACCCTTGCAATATCACAAAAAAGGCTAGTTAAAGACGCCCTTCAAGTATCAGTACTAATACTAGTTACGATACATAGTGTGGATTGTGAATTTTCCTGTTATTTTACCTAGATATTAAGATTTTGGCTTAAAAAGCAAGTCAACTGTGTGAAAATTTCATCCACTTTGACTTACAGTGCCATATCACATTGGGTGCGATCTGATTGCAATGCTGTGAACAAAGTTGTCCTTGTAGATGTTACTGCTTATCGCCTGCGAGAAGCAACGTTCGGGAAGCAATCAACTAAACGCTCCGCATGTTAAACCAGCTTTCTTCTTGTGGAGAAATTGAGGAGGCACATGCACATGCTAACTACACCATCGAAACGCGTCTCTTAAGGTGTCATGAACTATGTCTTGAGAAAACAGTGCAGCCTAGGCTGCACACACAGCTGTGCGGTTCGTATCAAGAAGTTTTTCAAGCAGGAAACGGGACAGCAGTGTCATGAAACACACAAGTTCCAACGCTGGCGCCACGGACTCGCGAGTAGCTGCCACATAATAGTCTACCGGAGCAAACACAATTAAAGAAAAATGGCAGTCATACGGTCGTCATGTGAGGGAAGTAGGGGGTTCCCAAAGGTCCCGTTTAGGGTGTCAATAGTGCGATGGAGTCAATCGCTCACGCGAACTTCAAACCTATATTAATATACCTTCCAAGCTATTTTCGCTGTTGATATTTTGCAGATGATGTATGCATGTTTACAAAAATTGATCCTGCAGGCTGTCTCGGCTGCAAAATTTTGTGTCAACTTGCCCTACAAATACAGTGAGGTCTAATATTTTTTGTGCATCACCTTCAAGTACCTTAGAGGTTATTTTCTTACTTCCCCTGAACAAGTCATCTACGTTGCCTCGAAACCTTTTATGATGGAAAGTTTTTCAAAGAACTATGTCGCTTTCTACTTGGTTGTAATACGATATGGTTTAGAAAACCAGCTTGACTTTTCAGCAAGATAACTTTACTGTTTAATCAATTCATCAATGAGAAAATTTACTTTTGAAGAAAACCAGGTGGCTTCAGCTGTAGGTAAAAGTCCCTCCGTGTGGGATTTTTGCATACCTTTCCTTATTGACTGCTGTGAATGAGTTTTGTGTGTCTTAAGCCACTGCAAATAACTCTTTTGCTCTCTTTTTCTTTCCTCCCTGCTCTTTGCACCTGCACCTTGCGTTGTTGGCAACGGCACAGCTGGCAAGCCTTCCCAGGAGCCCGCACCACGCCTGGTGTGTCAGTTCTGCAACTACTCGACCGTCTACACCACGACCATGGTGCGTCACGTGCGCACGCATACGGGCGAGCGCCCCTACCGATGTGTGTCCTGCAAGAAGGGCTTCACCACCAAGCAACAGTTGGAGAAACACTGCAGCCAGCCGAGCAAGCCTTGCTTCAAGCCCTTTGCCTGTGCCTACTGCCCGGAACGGTTCCCGTCTGATGCCCTTCTGAGCAGGCATAGGTGCATGCATAACACGTTCTCCAGCTATTGAACAGTCCTGCACAGCCATGACATTCGGCACTACAGTGGAATGCTTTTCAACAACACTGGAAAAGAAGGGAAAGACAAGGATCAAATCTTCCAAAAAGTGATGGGGTCATGTGTGCTGTATCTTTCGTCAGAAAACAAGCAGGGTGCATTTCCCTTCATCCATTGCAAGCTGAAACTTGTTGTCGGAGAGGGCATTCTCACCGGTAGTGGAGAGCTTGTACTTCTGGCAGTATTGCTTTTCCCCTTCTGATGCATTGTGCCAGAGTTTACATGAACCGCCATACAGCGGCTCACTGGTATTTTTCAGTTCTCTCCAAGCGCATCAGTGTGGTTCGCGTTTCCAGTTGCATTCTTACAGCTTATGTAGGCGTGATGTGCAGATAATGCACTTCGTAGTGTCACTGTCGCATTCATAAGAATGCAGGCACATTTCGCGTCCTCTGACATAAAATTCAATTCAAGACTTCTAGTGAATTTAGACCGCAGAAAATCTACCCTGCATTCTTATGCTGAAAAGAAAGTGACTCTAGCAGAGTTTGTAGAGATGTTCAATTGTGTTCTTGCTCTGTCTTGCTGTAACGTATATGTATATTCTTTGACAATGATGTGCAAAAAAAGTGAAGGGCCCTGTACATGATATAGAGAAAACTTGAAACTGAAGCGAAAGGATTTGCAGGGACAAATGCATTTAGTAGTAAAGCTACTAGACATGGTCATCACTGAATTAGTTTGAGGTTTTTTTAAGGGCACGTAAGGGCGTGAAAGTACATTTGCACAATGTAAAAGATGGAGACATAATGACACTTTACTCCACATGGTGACTTGATGAGATTCATTGATGACCAAGTTCATGTGCGATTCCACTGACTATTGCCACATCCAGTGCTTTATGGCAAAATGTAAAGAATATTGTTAAAAACTCTAACGTCACTTGTTCGTTGTTCATGGCAATCACGAATATTTGCTTCCAATTCATGTTGGCTTCTTGAAAAAAAAAAGCCCTATGTCTTGCTGGAAAAGAAATTGTGGCCTGTGTGTTTCTTTCTTAGCATATATCTATGCATGGAACTTTTCCATGTGCAAGCCCTTTCATATTGTCCGAAGTGATGTTAGTGTACTTGGTTGCATCTCGAGTGAACAATAAGCAAGACATCAAAGAAACGCTGACAATTGAGCATTAACTTAATGGTGTTGGTTTGGGGATGCATGTCATGAAGTGCATAGCCTTACATTTTACTACACCCTGCTCACTGCAGCTGGCTTGCAGTACACTTGTTATCAGGAGGGTAAGCACATAAATTGCCCCAGGTATTTCAATAAGCATTTGAAATCAACCTGTAATGATCTTGACGTACTTCTTCGTACATGTATTTGTTACCCATTGAGACTCGATTGCATGGCAGGCCCTAGTATGCAACGTCAGCAATTCTTTTTGCTAAACTGACTCTGTGGTATTATGCTGCGAATCTAAAAATTATGGTATGTAGCGGCGAAACATTGGGCCCACAATATGTGATGGCACCCTCTAACAAGCACATATCTTGCCGATAGCCCTGGCATAAAGAAACGTTCCATGTGGAGCCTTTACAAATGTCCTTGTTGAAAGCCTAAATATGTCGTAGCACACTTACTAAGCTTCTTTTTGTTTTATTAATGAATTTGACCATATGCAAACTTTCATATCCTGCGCTTGTGTAGAAATGAACCCCTTGAGAAATAAAGTGCCTGCTAGTGACTGTGGAGAGTCGCTAAATCAAGTATGTGATGATGCGAGGAGAATGCTAGTTATGGATGTGGAAGCTCTCGGTCTGTAAGGGCCAGTAATGTTCCGTTCTCTTCCAGCTATGGGGACTGTTCACACAATTCGTCTGTTTTCATTTATTTTCTTTTTGCACCGCAGAAAATGTACTGTGTTCGCTCTTTGTTTGTACATTGACTTGAGTGTCTGCATTTATCTGTACATTCAAAATTGTCTTGGAACATGGTGTTGCCATAGTTTTCTTTAGTTATTAGATTAAACTCTGTTGTGCTCTGCAGTGTCCCATTTCCCGTTTTATGCTTTCAGAAACTTTAAGGTCGCATATGTTCAGATAGCTGGCAGCACTGACAGCCGTATAACTACTTCAAATGCAGCATCTACAATCGTATGCCCTAGAACACTGCCTTGAAATCACAAGCGCGATCGAAAATGATCATAGAAAGTCTATAGACAAAGAAGCCAGGGAAAAGAAGTATAAAGAGAATAGCCTTTTAATCTTACTAAAACTGTGTTATCTGTGAATGAAACTATGTAAAAGTGGACAGAAAGAGAGATGTCTGCGTTTATGACCTTTTTCCTATTGCTATCCTCCCAGCTACTGTTCATAAAAAAAAAAAAAGGTAACTGAAGTGTCTTACTAGAACAATCTGCATCGTCCCCAAACCACTGATATCATTGAGATTATACCGACTCATCGCTATCCGTATGCAGTAAAGTGATTTTGTAAGCACACATGTATTCAGTTGTTGTCTGGCACTTTGCAGATAACATTTGTTTCATTTGATCATTTCTGAACTGGAGCTCAGTGAAATGTGAGATGCGGTTGACTGTTAGACTGAGTGTTGAAACACAGCCATTGCAGCCTGCTGCAGGATCAATTTTTCCTTTTTTTTTTGGCATGCACGTGTGTGACTGCATTGTAGCTGTTGTGGGTGCTTTCATATGCAACCAGCTAAAGCAAAATATTGAGGCGTGAAAAATAAAAGGGGGGGGGCGGGGAGTCCTAAAAATACTCAGTTACTAAGTTTAAAGTATGGTATGTGTGCGCTATATTTGATCTTCTTCATAATTTTTGTAGGCATATTGCTTATGTCCATATCTCTAATTGAATATACATATAAATATTGTGCATGTATAAATGCTAAAAAGAAAACCCTTTTGTCTCTCTGCGTGTGTGTTGTTATAGTTGTAGAAAACATATTTTCATAAAAGTATGTGTCAGTTTGTTGTGCTTGAAGGATCTCGTGACCAGTTTTTAGCTGGGTATAGTGTGGCTGTGAATGCAGAGGGGAAATGAGGGCTGAAATTTCGCTGGAATACACATTATCAAAAGCTGGCCTATGAAGAATGTCAAACGGATTTAGGGTGTTGTACAAACTACAAGACGAACGTAGTACAAATACCCCATAATATGAACCTCTAAATGGTGGTATTTGTATCTCCCCCTTGTTTTGTGGACTACCGCAAGTTTCCATCTACACTCTCTGCATTTGATTGATATGTGGGGTTCAATGCCCTAAAACCACCATATGATTATGAGAGATGCCGTAGTGGAGAACTCCGGAAATTTCGACCACCTGGAGTTCTTGAACGCGCACCCAAATATGAGCACAAAGGCCTGCAGCATTTTCACCTCCATCGAAAATGCAGCCGCTGCAGCCGGGATTCGACCCCTCGACTTGCCGGTCAGCAGCAGAGTACCATAGCCATTAGACCATTGTGGCAGGGCATTTCTCGGCTTTAGTGCTTCGAGATGGGTTTACTAGCTGGTATCGTGTACTTTTTTCCCTGATGTTTATACTCTTAAACACAGCTTGCACATCAGCACTGAATTTGAGTCTTAGCACTCCTGTAGCTTATTTCTGCTTTGCTGAGAAACCTTGCATAGCCTTTTTGCTGCTTTATTTTCAAGTTTTCATGGTATGCGATGACTGTAATGAATAAATGCTTTTCTGACTCATCTGTGCTTCATTCAGAAACAACGGCAAAACCAACATGGAATCTTTCATGTAATGGGCGGATGGATAATTTAGGTGCTGAATGATCTCTAATACCTTCAAAAACACATTAGGTTAGGGTAACTGTAACACTCAGCTTTGTGCAGATGTCTACAATATTGCGACCTCCATGATGCTGGTAAGTATACAGGATGTCCTTGCAGGTGCCAATTCAGTAAAACAATCGCATAAGTTCGCACGATAATCATTCCAAGTGTTGAACAATGGTCACTCAAGGAAAGTCCCCCATTCCCTCCTTTTTTTTGCGAACATTTTGACAAGGTGACACATATGTTCACGTAAAGAAAGACTCCTTGGCCAAATGGAACACTTGCAAATGAGCGTGCGGAAATGAACCAATTGCATTCTAGAACAGATACTGCTGTTGAAATCTTTATAGTTGTCCGGATCGAGTCTAGATCTCGTATAGAGCTGTACTTATTCGGGTCAATCAAGAGCCTGCACTGCTTACAGGAGACAATCGCAAAGAAGAAATTTGATGCAGATGGGGCTCGACTGAGGTCAAAACGTTCGTCGACTGCAGCTGATCAACATTTGCCTCAAGGCGTTATGGCCTGGTTTGCTTTCCTAGTATTACGCTAAAGAACCGCAATAAGCAATGCGTTTAGTTTCGGTTTCGTTTTTGCAGTTATATATTTTTTAGTGTCTTTGCATTTGACTAGTGATAACTCTGTACTTTTTTTGTAACAAGGCTTCCCAGATGTTAAAATTGGTCAGTACTGCGTACCGTTATGAAGGTTTGCGAAGCACGTAACTGTTTTTTTGCGATAGTACGAATGGCATGAAGAACGCCTCAGGAAAAGTTTTTCAACGTCGGCAACCATGGCTTGACAAGAAAAATGGCGGAGCGCATTGGTGTTGTTTATTATGTTTGTTGTGCGTGCTTGTGAAGTCGTCGTCCCATGCGTAATCGCTGTGCTGGATTCAAGTGTACGACTGTACTCTTGAACAGAAACGCACAGTGACAGCACTTCGACAGTGTCTTCAACGTGGTATGCGCTGTGTTCGGCGAAAAATTGTGATCCAGTCTGGGTGGGAGTGGTTGACCCTCTCTGCAGGGCCCCCCGAGAGGATGGAACCCCCCCGCTATGTGGCATCAAATTGGGGACGCTCGTTTTGACGTGACCTGTTCGTGCCCTGTCGGGCGTGCTGTTCTCGACGTTCTTCGACGCGTCTTCCTCGAGCGATCGCACAGAAAGTGGTGTGACCCACAGGAACTTTCGTTTTTGAAGGAATTTTCACCAGGAGCCGATGGTTTCGGGCAGAGGGGGCACCGCAATCCGTGAGAGGAACCCGATATCTTTCCTGTTTCCTGTGCTGCGGCGTTTGCCGCTTGTTCATGTTCTCCGGCTGCCATTAGAGGAATCTGACGTTGCGTACTTGCGCAACAACCAGTTGAATGTCCGCACTTTAGCAAACTCGAAGTAGACTCGCGACACTTCGACCACTACGAACGCGATACGCAGTACTGCCTGCACCGTTCGAACACTGTCAAGCCGCTGGAGAAAAGAGAAGTGACTCTCCTTTTAAATGAAATGAACTAATGGTGTAGTCGGGTGGGAGTCGATTTTGGGGTCATGGAAATACATCTAATTGTGTTCGTTACCCGCCCGTTGGACACTAACTCCATGTTGTAATGTGTTGATAGCACTTGGGTTGTGAAACTTTGTCTTACATTTACTTGTGGCTTGTGCTAACCAAACCTCTCTTAACTTTGGTGCTGTAGTGGGTAGTTCAGGATTGTATAAAACCCATGGTCACTTACTTCCTTTTTTTTTTTTCTGTCTAGGTAAGGATGGATGGAAAACAAGTGTACGCCTTTCAAGATATGTATGGAAGCAGGACATTGTCCACACCAATATACAAAAAGGAATATTGATAAAAAAATTGATTCATGTCATGCTGAATGTGTGGTCAGCTTTGTGAACTTTTGCTGTGTATCTGTGGTTCTACTTGTGCTGCCTCAATCACTAAGGCTAAATTGCTTTGAGCTGTTACTGCTTTAAAAAGGGCGTGCCTGTCCTGTGGTTGGCTTTTGTGCCCCAATTGTTTTGAAGAAAACCTTTTGTCTTTTGATTATGCTCCATGAAATGCAACTGTGAGCTTTAATCGAACTAGACATACAGCCGCTGTATAACGAAATTTTAGTGCCATTTTTTTTATAAAAAGAGCCAAGTTGTGCTTAACTGAAAAGTCGCAATATATGAGTAAAATGATTAAAAGGAAGTTTTTTTTTTTTTTAGGTCAAGCTGTGAATAGCGTAATTGCAAGCATTTTTACATGTAAGTAAAAAAAAAAATCTGTCCCAGACGTCTTTCGGAGCACTAACAATCTTTTCGACCTTATTGGGTTTCGACAGTTGCAGTGTGTTGGCTGGCCATTGTTGTGGTTGAAAGGAAGCAGGAAGTTCTATCACCCATTGGAGCATATATGAAATACTAAAGTTTATGGAGGGCATATCGGCGAACAGGCAACATTGCAAAGTAGTATTGTGTCTGATGGTGCGAAATGCAGCCCGATATGTCTGCAGCCAAAGAGTATTGCGAGTGAAGCTGCCACATAACTCAAGTCTACGGATTGGTTGGTTTTGATTCCCTTACATAAGCTAGCATTCAGCGCATATTGTGCTCGTGGACATCTATGGGGTGCACCATAAATGCTGTCATTCCAGCAGATTTCTAAGAGCGTTGAACTTTAGAGGCCCAAGCTTGCCGTCCATCTGTAGATAGAGATAACGCAAAGTTGTGACGAACTAGTTGACAATACAGTCCTAAAACAAGCTAGAAATGCTGAAAGCTGGGTTAAAATAAAAGACTGTCTAAAATGATATAATTAACAGAATTAACCAATAAATAATTCCAATATTTTAGTTAAAATCTTTAAAAACACTGAAAACGAGCTGCTGATGCTCGCATCACGCAAGGGAAGACTTCCACTGCCTTGACAAGTGCACGATTGCTCCCGCCATCAGCGACTACGTTGCTCCATCTGAACGGTAAAAGAAACCTAGCAGAACTCGCTGCAGAGACACGTATTTGATTGTTGTAACAATCAAATCTGTTTGTTCAAAATCAAATTTGTTTTCAATCAATCACAAGTTTACTTGTGAAACAAAAAGACTAGATTTTCTCACATTGTTTCAAAAGTACATTTGTTGTTTGCTTTATCATGAACACTTATTTCATTGTTCTTTATTGCATGCTAGCTCTTTAACATCATTATCAGCACTCAAATGACATTGCACATTGTTCAAAGATTTCTGAAATAATATTAGCCGTAATTTGCAAAGTTATGTGACCAGCTCGCGAGGCCTGTTGATAGCAGAGAGCGCACGAAATTTTGTGGTAGGTTGAACATTACAGTACTGTTGTTTTTACAAGATGGTGCATAATATGGTGCTGCAATGTGTGCTGTTGAAAAAATTCATAAAGACGAGGTGTGACCGGAGCCAACACATCGACAAGCGAACTTGTTTTCGAGTCTGCAACTGTCCACTTATCGAAATGTCTGTTCATAAATTTTTCACTTCTTCAAGCGTCTTTCCCTGAAGTCCTGCCTTTTTGAGTGTGTGCCTTTTTATATATCTATACTCTGCATTAAATTATGTGCATTTTCATTTATTTTTCAGGAGCTTCAAATTGATTTTGTATGTCATTATTTGCATCACCATCTTTCAATGCCTCTAATAGATGTTTCAATTTTTTTAACTTGCAAGAATGCATTATATGCACCTAAGTCAATATCTCAGTTTCCTGTTATGAATCTTGTGCAGAGGGTTATCAATGAAATGATTACTAGATGAACTGCAAATGATAGTTTATACACATTCTTTTTTTTATTCTGCACCTATTTTGTGCTCACTTATCCGTGTCCTTAATTATTTTTGCTCTGTTTGCCAGGTAAAGTGTTATAAAAGTTTAAAGTGGCACTATGCAATCATATTATGAAAATGTAATTGAGTGTGACTACGTAGTCATGATATTGGTGGTTTATAGCCTATTTTGTGTCACTGATAATTATTCATCAGCAGCTCATATACCAGCAGTCTCTTTTTTTTTAATTGTTGAAGCTAAATATTATCACGATAGCGCATAGTAAGAGCGTAGGTATATTCAGAATTTTCAAATAACTAATCAAATAATTTTTGTTGAATATGGTACTCAAATCAAATGGGGCATACTGGAAATACCAAATATTTTTTGAATAGCTTTTGAATAATTAGCTATGACAAAAAAATATTCGAAGAAATGAAACATGGGAACAGTGAGGGGTGACTTTTCCTGTTTTCATCATCGAATCATCTAGATCTACCCAGCCCTAGTACTTACTGCAGTAACGACACCACATTGTTGATAACAGGATGAATGCATTTTGCTTAAAACTGCAGTGTCACCAAAGTGATAGTGTCAACAATCAATTATCTTTGTTATAAAATTCATGACGTTAAGTTATGAAAGTCACATAATATTTAAGTACCAGTTTTATTTAAGAGGTGTTGATAATAGTCACTGCTTTGTTTCAGCCATGCAGTGACAAAATATTTCGTAGACTAGTTGCTGCTCATTTTGAATATTTATAGTATTTTTGTTGGGCGAAGGGATGTGTAATGTGATCATTTAATAAAGCTTGGAAATATTTAGTTTAAAATAGATTTCGTGTAATTCTTGGGCAGTTTTAAAGATTGTCACTTTACCAATTCAGGCCTGCTTTGAAGATTAGTGTTTTACTACTTCGGAAACTATTCAAATAGTATTTATTCATGTTCTATTTGGTAACGTCACTGTTTGATTTGTAATGAATTTGGTTCTGAAGTTCACTATTCACTCACTCCTCGCACATAGAGTCTATAAATATATAAATTATATAAATTACCTCAGGTGTTTTCAGTGAGCATAACATTTGTGTAATTTTTTCTACGTTGTAACATTGATATCATTACAAAGTGTTCAAAAAGTTGTGTATTCTGTCTGTTTCAAAATATGTAAACAAAGGTGTCATTTCTTATATATATATTCTATGCCGAGTTGAAAACTTTGTTGTATTGTGGTTTTACATACTATATGAAAGCCGTTGAACCTTTGTATGCTGTATGTATAGTTTATGCTACGTCTGGGTGTTCTTTTGGGTTAGTTACACAAGTTCAAGTGATATAATTACAATATAAATTGGCTAAAAGAAAAGCTAATTATTAATTTGTGGTTATTTTACTGCAGTTTTGATAGCTGTGTATTGTGTGTTCAGCCACTGTCTTTCATTTCTAGTGCGCATGATATCAATTTGCATGCGTTAGCCTAGTATAAAGAAAATACTAGTTCCTGAAAGTTCTCCTACTGTTTCTTTTGTAATATATTACCTTGGAAATTCTAACTTCATTGATTAGAGTTTTTGTAAGCATCAAAAAGACAGTCTGATGAGTTGGTTGATAATACCTAATTCAGAACAGAAGCGCAAAAATTCTAACTTCATTGATTAGAGTTTTTGTAAGCATCAAAAAGACAGTCTGATGAGTTGGTTGATAATACCTAATTCAGAACAGAAGCGCAAAGCATCACACTGAGGACAGTAGATCAAAACGGACACAGCGCTAATTTACAACTCAGTATTTGTTGCATGCGATCTCATATATATATATATATATATATGCACACGACACTAAAGAAAAAAGAGGGGATGGGGCACACAAGGTAATCGACTCGGCAAATGAAATAGGTGGCCCAAGTGGCGGAAATACCATTTCCTTCTCTGACAAGCAGATTGGGGGCTACTTACAGGGTCTCTGTATTTAATCTCGACCACTTCAATAATTTTTTGCGTGACACATTTTGATCTGTTGCCATCTGTGTGATGCTCTGCACTGCTGTTCTGAATTTCAAACATCACTTTGCCAGTTGGCATCAATGTCGTGCTGCCGTTTTCAGGAGAGGATGTAGCAGTGGCCTTGGGCACTCTAACATGAAGATTGCACGTGAACGGCAGTGTGAAAAGGCATAGCAAAATGAGCTTGCATTCAGCTGTTCTTGTATAGTAAGCGACCTTGTTACTTTGGATGCACCACTTGACTAGAGCTTGTTCTTTTTTCACGCATTTTCTATATCTCTTAGCACATTTGCACCAGTGAGTAAAGTGGTAAAATAATTAACTTCGCAAAAACCACTGTATTAGTGTTTTTCACGACATCTGTGCCACACGTTTGTTGCTCAAGTATCGGAAGTTGACTGTCTCTTTTGTTTTCTTTCTTGCTTTTCTTCGGGACCAGCGTCGACGGTACGAGGCTATCCCATCGCTCCCTGCCTCCTGCGCGCCAGCAACAGCAACGCGGGACGCCCGTCGTCCACATCTCTGCGGCACTTCTTCTCGTCCGGTGGCACGGACATGCCTAAGAAGTTCCAGTGCCGACAGTGTCACTACTCTACCAACATCATGACCAACCTGCGACACCACATCCGCGTGCACTCGGGAGAACGGCCCTTCAAGTGCTCGGATTGTGGCAAGGGCTTCATCCAGAAGATCCAGATGATCAAGCACAATTGCATCGCGCGGATGCGTGACGTCGTCGTACCCGCGTCCGCAGTGTCGCCGACGGGGCTCTCGCCTTCATCACCCGTGCCTCCGGCAAACTCGCTCTTCAGTTGTTCCAAATGCGGAGAAGCGTTCCTCGGCGAGGCGCTCCTACTGCAGCACATGATGCTCGTGCACATGGCGCAGTGAGCAACGTTCAGCTGTGCACGAAAGTAGTATGCTAGGCAAATTTCTCATTGTCACAACATAACGACACTGGTATGGGGCAAAGAATGATGGCACCAAAAATGCCTAATAATGGCTGTGTGCCTGGTTTGTGCAGTATGAAATCAAATGTGAAAGTATGTGCTTGCCTCTTTACACAGATGCTTTACACGGATCTAGTTGTAGTGTGTAAGCGAATCTAGCTACACAGCTAGTAAAGGTGTTTCATGCAAGCAAGCGAAGATGGGGCTGCAGGTCATTTAACCTTGCAAACTCCTTATAAGGAGGTAGGTTATAGCACATGTATCACTCGTTGCTGCACACAGACTTCTGCCACAACTTCTACTTTGAGTGACGTTGCTGTCGAAGTCAGCAGCTTTGTTGTCATCATTCTTTGTGCTGCTTTGTCATCATACTTGGCTGAGAAGCACATGTACTGTAGCAATGTCACTTTCAGTGACAATATGCACATTTGAATCAAACACCTGATAGACTGGCTTTTACAACACAATGTGGCTTTATTATATCAAAGTGTGCTTTGATAAAGCTTGTTCGCATTAAGATTGTTAGGTCTAGGTGGTTTCGTGTCAAGATTCTGTATACAATGGATTGAGGTACACCTGCACGCAGAGATGGTCATTATGTCAAGATACGTTGTCGATTTATCTGTCTTGAAGCATTGGAAGTGCATGCCGTTGCGTACAAAGGCATTATTTGCAGCCCTAGATACGTTATTTGATGTCTAGCTATGTTGAGAGCTTGACAGTTTGCTTAGCTTTGTAGCGGCTATTATGTTAGCATAGCTAGATAGATGACTAACTTTTGTTAATGGGCTCGCCAGTAGAATTATTGCTATATAGAGAATGCTGAACACGCTCTGCTACCATCTGCTCAAGGAAGACCAAACTTTCAGTTCGCCCCGCTGCAGTGGTCAAGTGGCTAAGGTACTCGGCTGCTGAACCACAGGTCACGGGATCGAATTCCAGCTGTGGTGGCTGCATTTCCGATGGAGGCGGAAATGTTGTAGGCTCATGTGCTCAGATTTGAGTGCACAACAAAGAACCTCAGGTGGTTGAAATTTCTGGAGTCCTGCACTACGGCGTCTTTCATAATCATATTGTGGTTTTGGGACGTTAAACCCCACATATCGATCTATCTACCAAACTTTCAGTTCACAAAATGCATTTCTGTGAAGCCTCATACCATTGTACTAGCGCTAATAAATTATTGAAGACATTTAGCGATAGCATATCGAACATTCGATTATAGGAAAGCTAAGAGCTTACAAAAAACACTCGGTTGTCAAAAGATGCCGTGCAATTTTTATTCTAAAGATTTGGCTGGCTACTGAATCACGGTAAATGATGTGCACATTCTCTGGCAAGTACTGTATACATGCGACGACACGAAAAGAAGAACAGCATCTACTGTAGAGAAATTCTGATACTCTGATCCTCGCGTAGTGATTTGAAACGTTATTCTATGTCTCACTTTGTTTAGAGATCTTTGTAGTTATTTACTGTCATTTCTTGAAGTCCTCTTCATGCTATTAGCTAAATGAACAGTGTGGTTCATAAGTGGACTAGATGGTCTTCGAGCCAGTCAAGTTTTAGATGGTTAGCGAAAAGTATCAAAATTGGAGGCGAGCCGGTGCAAAGACTTCCATGTGGTGTCGTCACCTGCGCTTTCTGGCTTGCCAAACAATCTCCTATGACAAAAGTGGTGCTTTCTGGGGTTGTGGAAAGTTAATTTATTAAATTGTCTTTCTCTTCAGTGTTGGTTCAATCCTGTGCGATTCTGCATCCACCAAACAAGATTTACCTAGTTGCTAGTAGAGGCGGTCAGGCTTGTTGTCTTGGTGGTCAAGAACACAGCCGCTCAGAATGAAGTACTGTTGACTAGCCTTGACAAGCTTTTTCTTCACCTTGCTATTCACGAATCTTTAGTTTACGTTCACCAACCCAAGTCTAAGCTCTCCGATTATTCCAAGAGGAAGGCATGAGCCGCTTTTGTGAGTTTCAAGTGGTAGACGTATCTTCGAAGGAATTAGCTCCCCTACCCTGTTCTGTTTTTGTGCCTTGTTCTTTTTTAGTCATGCATTTTTTCATTTATGTAGAACCCATAATTGTTCACACTTATTAGATAGGTACTCAGGTATATCGCTTGCATTATTTCCTGTTAACCTTCCGTGCATTAACATGGGTGTACTTGTACTCTAAGCTGTCTTTGTTTCTTTGCTTGCGAACTATGGAATTTTGGCTCTTACTATGAGATGCTTGACTTCAACATGTTCGTCACTGTGGAGCAGCTAAGTCACTGCCTCTTGGTGCTCATTCTATAACACATTTTCGAAAACTGCAGAGGGATGGGAAACGGGTGCAGCAAGCGTGGGGAGAAATTATCATTTGTGACTTAACTGAGAATGTGACTTTAGTGTTAATGTTACGAATGGAGTTGGCATTTAAGATGTGCGCCAATAATGGTTGTTTCAACCCATATTTTAGTCACTTCAAGAAGCTGTTTCCTTATAAGTTCAATGCTGTTTTATTATTTGCGAGCATTCGTCAGCAAATTTAACAAAATTTAGGCTTTTCATATTGTAGGCTGATGAAGTTTGGCTTCTTAAGAACTTTGGTGATAGTTTTCTGGTTGTAAAAGGCTGAATTAATTCCGAAGGTCTCCTGCAGCACTTTTCTGAGTAACCATCAAATGGCTCCATTAAAGGAGTTTGTCGCCTCTCAAATCAGCCACCGCAAAACTTAAAATCTATCAAGTACGAGTCAAGTTGGAGACTTTTTGCAGGCTGTGGTTGCTTTCTCTCTTCTCTTGTCCTGACGAGCAATCTGAAAGCTAAGCAGAGAGGGATGGTGTATGAGAAGAAGTTATGTCATGTACATATCATGACCTTGAACACTCTTTTTTTTTTTCCTTCGAACATACCGCGCCGCTTATTTTCATAATCCTTAGTGCTCGTACGGGCATGTGGTGGCCTCCTGCGGCAGCAACCGTAGCTGTGCTGCTCGTGATGGCAACTCAGCCAGTAGTCGTGAATTTGGTGGGGTCATTTTGGTAGGTCATGATTTGTAGAAAAAAAGAGGGAATGATATCCAAGTGACTTTGACAACTAATTGTAAATTCCTGTCCGCATGCTGTGATATAATGTTTGTCTCGCATGTTCCCAGGAGCGTAGTGTACCGATCAGCGGTGTCTCTTAACAATGATGAAAAAGTGTTGCAGAACCCTTTTAAATATAGTATTTGTATGTACCACATTTACTAATATGAAGCCGCATAGAAGTATTGACCTACAATGCATGCCTAACAACTGCACTGTCTGCAGTGTATTCAGAGTGTTTTCTTTGTAATGTCTTTTTGGCCTATCAGATTGTTTGCTAAAAAAGCAGTATGAAATACTCAAGCCTCTGAAATATTCCAGGGAATGATGTTAGAATGCTTTTTTGTGAGTTCATATGGCTCCATCACAAAACATGGAGTCTCCTTTTTTTTACATCTGATCAAGATGTCAGATCACAGGTGTTGTGCAACAAATGTCATAATTTTTTCATCGCCAAATACAGGCCTTTTAGTTAACCGTATGGCATGCACTTCCAATGTTTAGAGTGACTGCAGAGCTTCCCGGTGCTTTAGGATTTCGCAGAATTGAAAATACTTCGACAACTGAAGTCGACAGAGCATTGATTATTGAGGATATCAGGGCAATGTTTTTAGGATGATCCCTTTGGTTGGCGACTACCTGGCAGGAATCGCAAATATCCTACTGTGCGCATGCAGAACGTTTGGCTGTCGTGCACTGTGCCTGTTCATTGTGTCAGAGGTTCACATTGTTGCAAAAAGGAGCGGGACTGTTTACGTGTATTCTTAGCAGTTGCATTGAGAAGCAGTCTTTAGTGGCGAGCAGGAACTACATTAGATGCATGAACCTCGACAGAGGCACTTGTTAGCTGTTGAACATTTATAAGATGTGCTCTTGATGTTTAACGTGTATGGAAGTAGATTTTAATGTGGAAAAAGTGATTGGACAGGTTACATGAGCAAAGCATCTGGTGATTTGTTTTAGAGTTCTACTTTACGAAAAGCCAATGACAAGAAATCGCATTGCTTTTTATGAAATGCTATTTGAACAAGTTATAGATGGCTTGTGCATTTTGTACAATATGCCTTACACGTATGCGTATGCCTGTTTGCTCTTATATGAAAGACCAGTTAATACTCGGCACATATGTCTTGTTAGCGTCGCTTGTCTTGTCGTACACACGGTTTGCCTCGTTAAATGTGATTGGATGCTGGATAAGCAAGCATTTTAACGATTGCAATAGCAAACGCGAAAGCAGATGAGAAGGCTAGTTTTGTCAGAGTTTATGCTACATTCGTAGTTTCGGCGAGATTATTAAATGAAGAGAAGTAAGAAGGCAGGTTCGTGAGAATGTAGTGTAAGAGAGAAAGTGACAGGTTTTGTTCCTTTTACTCTTTTTTTTATTCTCATTCTTGCAGCACTGTCAAAAAGTGACAGATGTTTTTTGTTTGTGTTTCATAGAATTAGTACTTTCCTTTTGTGTGCCATGCTGCCAGTTACTTGAGCTGCGCTTTAGCCAAGTGCGAAGAAGTCTGCATCTCTTTTATTCTTTCAGGCTATTTTGTAGCAAGGACTGCTGAAAATAATATTCCTATATGCACTGAACAATGTAACCTTTATTATATGCTTGACGCGGTTAGTTTAGATTAGCAAACTTTGGAGCATTACAGGAAGCACTCGGTGAACAGATTACAGTTTTTTATCCTAAGTTCTCTTTTTTTTTTTTTTCAGAGAGCTTGAGTTATATGCACAAATGTTTTTCATACCTTGCAGGTATCAGTAAGTAGAACCAAATAAAATAGACACCTTCTATAAAATGTCATTCTCTTGCTTAAAATTTTTCATTTTGGATGCGAACCTGTCTTGTGTATTCAAGTAAACGTGGGCCCTGCATATATAGCTAATGTGCTATTAATGACATTGAATGCCTGATGCCCATTTTTATTCATTGTAAGCTGTATGTTTGATCCCTTTTTGAACAGGGCTGTCTTTCCTTGGGCAGACATATTTGTTAATAGCTCCGGATACATTCATATGCAAAGTAAGCCTCCCTTACGCAGCTTTAGTAGCAGTTAGCACTTATGGCTGTATGCAAAATGTTTGCTTTTTCCAAGCCAGAGCAGTGTGCACTGGTGTAGGGTAATATTCAAGCCAAAAAGTGACACCGTAGAGAATTATGAATGTCTGACCCAGTGTAGTATTTTTAGTAGCCAATTGCTAGAATGACCGTAGAGCTGTTTTAGACTTTATTGAAACGAGCCATGTTCCCATATGTTTTTGACTCATTTGTGTTTTTATATTGCGCTCATATTTGCTAAACTACTTATACCAATCTCTCAAAGTCTTTCGTATTGTTGCATTTTGTTTATGTGCAAGTGGTTTTTACGTGTTATTACTGATCATTGGCTGTGTCATTGAGATGTACTTTTGTCACACCTACACATTTAATTATTGCTGAGAACAAGTTTAACGAAGGTTCACAGTCTACAGGACCTCCCTTTCTTTTTTCTTTCAATATTTGACAAAAGTATCTCGACATTTAGGACTGTCCAAACGTGTGTGTCTACTTGAGACAGCTTTCTCGGGTTCGTATCACGTTGTATGCACTGATGCCAACTTAGCATTTTCATTAGCACCCCCCTCCCTTTTTTCGTTGTGTTCAAGTGCGTGAGTGTACGCTTGTCTTCCTTGTTCCTAATTTCAAAGATTATGTACTCAGGTTGATTGTATTTATGACATTATTTCCTCTTGTAACGTCGCACATTGACATCGTGTGCTCGTGCTTTGTTTTATTGGTAGCGTGAAAGCGCATGTTGAGATAAGCTGTGCCGTCTTCAGACATTGTTTACAAAGACTTCCGATTTAGCCAAACTGTTCCAGCAGCTGCTTTTTTTTTCCCTCAAAAAAGCAAGCTTGCTGTCATTTTCTTGTTTTCTATTGTTTATGTGGTGTGTCCCCTACTACTGCCTTTGCGATTTCATCTGAGGTAACAAAAAAATGGCAGGTATACTGAACATGCGTAGCTCCTAGTACGCCATTACATTTTAGGTCTTGGCCTGGACTGATTGTGTACTTGCTGAGTACTTCGCAGTTGGAAGCATGTTTTTGTCATGTCAGCAGTGGGGAGCTAAGAACTTCCCTTTCAGACTATGCAGACTACTGTAGAATGGCACTTATATTCTGCCAATAAAGGCTATTCTTTTGGCATTTTACATCTCTTCACTTACTGTCATCATTTGCTAGTTTTAGCGCTACCGTTTGTTTCTGCTTTTCGATTTATGAAATTACAGTCACTTCTTAGCACCTTATGGACATCGGAATGAAATCATTGAACAGTTTCTTTGTTTTTTTAAATGTTGGTGCTAGTCGGAGTTTTTCTTGTCGAACAGTGAAATGAAAAGTGCATAGCATTTTATTAGTGCACCAATTATATATTACGATTTGCGAAAGAGACGCACTGCCCTTTCTGAGGCCCCTGGCATTCTCGAAATCGCAATCAGGTGAATTCTAGAATGGTTGTCAGTTTTGAAATGTATGTCATGCAGCAATATCTTAAGATCACAGGTTGCTTAAGGCTGTGAGGAGGCTGGGCTGTGTAGTCTATAACTGCATGTTTATGTGGAACAGAGGTGCCACACACACTTCTAACTCTAATTGGGGCTCATCGCATGCTGGCCACAGGGAGTTCAGTTCATGATGAGGCTATGCATATGTCCCTGGGACTGGCAACCGCTGAAGCTGAACACACTATGGCAATGGTCCTTACTTGGTTCTGGGTTCTCCACAGAAATTTCATTGCTTAGCAATTTTTACTGCAAGGTTGAATAGATTGGCATGCAATTAAAATGTGTCTTTCTGACTTTTTCAGCAGTTATGTCTGGCACCTCTGGCCCTGTAACAGATATTCTGCGCGGATCTGTGTGTAATTTGTTCTATTCTTGTCCCCGCCATTTCGACTTTCGATGTTTTCGCTTGCCATTTGCATTGCACGTACAATGAACTAGCTCTCTGCTGTCATATTCATTAACAGCAGTGGCAAATAAACTTGTGAAAATGTACATCAACAGTAAGTGAAGAAATTCTAAGTTCAGCAGTTATGCTCGGTCTTAAGTGATCGCCATCAAGAAATGTGTTGTTTGTGGCATTACCTATGTTTTCATTGTTTGGTGTACTTTTCACCGATTTTCCCATTTTTATAGTGGCAGATCTCATTTTTGCACAGTGTGCCTTGCATGCTATGCTTATTTCATAGTGCAGTGTACAAAGACTACCCTAGATGAAAATGCTGGTTCTTTATGTGCAGAATGACTATCAAATCACGTGTAATCTCTTCTTTTTTAGATTTTTTTTCCTGTTTTAGTACATTGTTAGAATTTTTGTGAGCTTTTTGTCTCATATTGCATGCATTGCCCTTTTCCTTTTGGATTTGTCATAATTCATGGAAAGACGAGAGAAAATTTTGGGAAATAGCTTGTGTACATTGGTTTTCTCTTTCCTTTGTTACTTTTCAAAAACTAGGTTTTATGCTTGTGAATCGAACTCATCCTTGCATATTCGCTTTTCTTTTAGATACTTTACCAAAAAATTTCTGATAGGAAATTGTGTTCATTGTATTATATTAGAAGATTAGGCAGATGTGCTGACTTTCTAGACTGATAAGTGATAACTGATGCTTGGTGCAAGAGTTTCTGAGCATGTGGAATTTCGTGAACATGTGCTTAGTATTCACCACCTATAGAAACAGCAGCTTTTTCCATTTGTTACGTCTGCCTTTAGTACATTGCACTCTGTCAGATTGCTCGAGAGGCTATGACGAAAAAAAGAAGTCCATTTCTCCTCTAGTGTTATACTGTATATTTCAGCTTCCATAATTGGAATAAATAATCAACCTCAGCCACTTCCAACATTGGCGATGCAGCACTGTTGAAAATCATTACTGATCATGACCAAACTATGAATGTCGTCATACTGTATTATTATTATTGAAGCCTTGCATACCACTGAATAGGGGTCCATTAATTTGTATACTAAGTGAGCTAATGTTGGAAAAGTTATACCATCCTTAGCACGTTAAATAGTTCTGCTCTGATCGTTTCACCAAGACTTGTGAGAAATGCCGAATCCTCACATGAAGAGCCGCAACTCATTAGTGTAGCAGCTGGTGTTGAACTTGCACCTATATTAATTTCTTTGAGTTGTAGCAACTGGTAATGTCAGTGATATATATGTGACAAGCACAGCTTAAGTGACATGCATAATTTGCAAAACAAAACTCTAGTTGCCTCATGAAACGGCCAGCTACTTTTCAGTCTTTTCCTATTGTGTGGATTGGTATATGTATGTGCAACGCTGTGTTATGATGTATTTCATTTTTTACGTTGCCGAGTCTTGCCCCATATCTTTACCTACATATGTCAACTGCCAACTCATAATTTCAACTACAGTCCATCCTTTACCTACTCCTCGTCTCACCGCAAAACCACCCTCTCCTCTCCCGTCCCTCTATCATTGCAGGTCGCTCGCTGCTGGTAAGGACCATACGCCACATGCCGCTGGTTCCGCGGATGTCGCTTTCGCACCAGCGCTTGGTGGCAGCCACCCGGCAACAGCAAGTGCCCACGCACCGCTTTCAGTGCACCTACTGCTCCTACTCCACCAACTACCAGACCAACCTGAACAACCACGAGCGCGTGCACACGGGCGAGCGGCCCTTTGTGTGCCAGCACTGCAGCCGCTCGTTCAGCCGCAACGAACACCTCAAGAAGCACCGGTGTCGTGCCTGCGAGACGAACAGCTTCACAACGTGACCGACGCCGAAGACGGCATGTGTCCGGCGTGTTTTGGTGCCTGTTAGCAAGCTCTTGGCAGATCTAGTTCAGGCCATGCTGGTTATGTAGCGAGTCTTGAGTTAACTCTCTTCGAGGAATCCTGTATCAGTAACCAGCTTTTACATAGTACCAGCCAAATGTGGCTCTGTGGGGTGTTATCTCTTGAAACACAAAGTGTCTTAAGTATAACTTCAGCTGCAGAAGGTGATACACAATCATGTCACATTTCAGCTTGCTGTAGCGAGAGTGTGCCAGGCTTTTTGAAGCACGTTTAGCGAGAGGGAGGGAAGGTACATTTGCAGAATGCAAAGAATAGCAATCTGCCATGGCTATGAAAAGTACTGCAAAGGAGTCACATATATTTCAACAGGTGGGAGCTTCTTGTTTCAAAACACAACTTGACTTCAATAATGTATACTTTTAACTGGCTTGAATTGTCCAACGATATATGGGAGATAGCACAGCTGGACCCATTTCAATATGTATTTTTTTTACTGTGAAGCTTAACGCAATATCTTCAAGCCAGTAGTTGTGAGAAAATTGTGTCAGCTCAGCATATCTTTTATTCCTTCTTTTGTATCACTTCTCATAGTTCTAATGTGCATATTTGCAAACATAAAAAAGAAAGGTAAAGTCTAGCTCTCTCTCTCTTTTCTGGCAATCTGTGCAGGTACGTCTTCCAAGATCTGCCCGGTGCTCATCGTAATTAAATTGTAAATGCTGTATGACGTTTAGATTTACTGCATTTTTAAGAGCTAAAAAAATTTTTTTTTCAAAGATACTTTAGAAGTGCGGCTGAGGCACAAGAACACGTCTAGCAAATAAAGAAGCTTCAAACTATTGCGGGGCAGATTAATAATTAGCTGTGCAATTAATGGCTGAACATAGTTTTTATTTAGCTTCAGTAGGCGCTCAGAGGTATGCGAGCCAGGTGAGTCAGTTTCGGGGAAAATATTTTTTTTGGTTGAGGCTATCGAGCATCAAAGCCAATATGTTGAGTGCAGCTTTAATGTGTGTTAAGCTGTATAAAAATGCCCTATAGAGATACGGTGTTTCTTTGTTCATTTCTTTGATGAGTCTTGTAACTTTTTAGTGTTTGGTATCATTTGGAATGTTGCATGATGTCACAATAACAGCAATGTTTTAAAGGGGTCATGACAGAGTTGCCCAACAATTTGTAGTTTTCAGCAAAAACTAGAAGTAAAGGGTCTATTATGCCTATACAGGTATAACAAGTTGGCCGTAAAAAATATTTCAGGGTAAAACAAGCTCTAGAACTAACCGGCTGTCAATCTCGCCCACCGCAGGCGAGCCTCCGTTTTGCCATGGCACCTGTGACATTATGTGCAACAAGGAGCAGAATTGTTGTTATCTACTGAAGTATCAGCTGCTGCAAATCATTCAGTTCAGTGCCAAGTAGAAGAATACTATAATACGTATCTCAATTTCTCATGCCACTGGCCACCGAACACGATCACTCTTGGGGACTAACATTCGCAGAGCCAACTGTTTGTGTCACAGCTCAAGAGTGTGCCAGTGTTGCCCGACTATCCAGTTGCTCGCGTGTTTATAAAAGTATTCAATTGTGAATTGAGTGCTTGAACAAATGCGCTAAAATTTTGATAGATTATTTGTGAGTGTACGAAGATTAAGCTAGTTAACACAGATTATAATCGAAAATTGGTTGTCCTGGCCCCTTTAAATAAATGTCTGGTTAGATATATATAGCACATTTTAATGAAAACATACGATTTAGGAATCGATATTGACCAGGAGTTGGTGCCTAATTAGGGTTTAAAAGAATATTTACATTTAGCCCGAACCAGAAGAAGATGCCTTGTGTTGAAGAACTTAAAAGTATGTGCAAGCTCACATTTCTTTTAATGGAAGAAACGTGGCGTCTGCGAGACGATATAGCGTGATTTTACGTTAGTTTACGCTTGCGATCCTTCTGAACACACACAGCACAACCTTGTTTGGACAACCTTTGTGTTTTTACATTGAACGATATGCCTGGATTTGCAAGCAGGCATTGTGCAGCTAAGGCTCGGCTTCGATACCCTGCCACGGTCACTGTGTTAAATTTGGAGCGCAGTGTGAAAACACCAGTGTACTTAGATTTAGATGCACATTAAAGAACCCCGCACAGTCAGTATTGATTTGGAGTCTCTCGTTATAGTTTACCTTATAGTCCTAGCGTAGTTTTGGCACATAAAACTCTGTGATTCAATTTAATTTATAGAATTGCTTAGTGTTAGTGGATGTCATGCTCTTAGCTTTCGTATAAGGTTCACAAAAGTGAGCCAAACGTAACTTTCACCCAACAGGAAATTAGGCTGAAAGGCTTGTTGAATGTGTGTTCATATTTAAAAAAAGCTGAATGAGATGAAGCTTTGTTTTGTTTGCAGATGCTTTTGCATCACATGGAAGTATCGCTAGTAGCTTGGAGAACTAAATATATATGGGTGCGCTGCCATAAAAAAATGCAAGCCTCAATGATGGCTGTTACATAACAATAATGCCTAATCCTTAAATTATGGTTCGGCTGTGCCCAGTTACCTGTAAAACAGGCAGAGAGATGAAAAAAGTGAGCAATAGAACACTCCCAGATGAATATGTATAAGCGTACATTACTGTTATTTCATTTTATTTTTTCTGTAAAAAGAGCTGTAGAAAGGCTTTGAAACTTTACCTTTGCAGCGACATCCCCCATTTGGATTTATTGGTGTTTGAAGCAGTTTTTATATTGACGCTGTGTTCATGAATTTCTGATTTTTATTTCCTTCAGATGACTGTAAGTGTTATATTATTTAATATACAGCTGTATTTGTGTGTATTGTTGAAGCCAGTGGAGCATGTTTTCAATTGCAGTGTTGCACTCTCTTTTAGTTTTGTGCTGTAACATTAACTACACTGTTGCTATTGTAAAGCTTTTATGCTTAGCTGCTCACGGTTTGCCTCTGTGCAGCGTGATTGTGCCGCATCTGCATGGCGCCAGTGCGTGGTGTGCTTTATTTTGTCTTAGTCACTGCAACTGCACATTTCGTCGTAATTGAAAGTTAATGTGTCTACATTCACAATCACACAGCAAAGCTGCACGATAAGCTGTCCTGTGCGAGTCTTTTCGTGGCCGAGTTTTTTCTTGGCAATATTGAGGCGGAGCTTGTTAGTGTGACACGTGGTAGCTATGCAGTGCAAGAACATGCGCGTTCTTGTTATTCAACCTCGATTGATAACGACATCCTCTGTTTTTTTTTATTTTAGAACTTTATCAATGTAAAGCATTGTTGCCCAAAGGTCGCATCAGTGAGGAAATCAAGTCTTAATACCTATGAATTTTAGACCGACCTCAATCGTCGTCAGATTTCATGCACAAATCACACTTGTGGTACGCGATAAGTAACGTCGTGTCCAGATCAAGTAATTGCCTATTTTGCCCAGTGTCCTGTAGGTGTCACATCAGTTCAGTTGTTTATTTAGCAAATAGCGCCTTCCTCACCCTTGATCAGCCATTGCACTGCTTTCATTGCTTTATTTTATTTTCTTTTTCTGTGAAAAGAAATAAGGAGAGATAGGGGAGAGGGTACGTTAGTATTAACTTTGCAAAGAGGTCGCCTTGAATTAATCGATTTTCATGCTTTATGCATTTTCACATTCTTTCTTGCGAATGCTGTAGCTCTGTAGCTCGCTCAGTATGCAGTGATGTTAGCTGTGCCCTTTATGACATGTATGGCAGTGAGAAGTAACTCTATTCTTTCAACCAAAATTCAAATAACTCTACTGTAATGGATAGAGCAGGGAAAGCCCTTTATGTGGGCAGTCATTTGCTCCACATTAGCAATTTCGTGGTACAAAAATTATGTTGTAGAACTCAAGAAGCTCACAAGAAAACCAGCTCTTTCTGTAGAGTGGCTTCTTTGCAGAGTCGTCTCTCTTATCATCAGCCTTTGTAAAATTTTGCTAAGTTAAATATTGTTCAGGTTGTTGAGGCCGTTTCCTCATAGGTGCCAACAAATTATTTGATGAAATCTTTTTGTCTTCGTGATGGAAAATGAAGCATGAGATTCGTTATTCTCCTGTCACCAACCGACAGGCTCCACAACTCATATGCTTGTCTCCCTTTTTGCAAAGTTGTCTCGAGTGAAAGTGTTTTTATGGCACAACGTGGTTCGCCCCGCCGCGGTGGTCTAATGGCTAAGGTACTCGGCTGCTGACCCGCAGGTCGCGGGATCGAATCCCAGCTGCGGCGGCTGCATTTCCGATGGAGGCGGAAATGTTGTGTGCTCGTGTGCTCAGATTTGGGTGCACTGTTTAAGAAACCCAGGTGGTCGAAATTTTCGGAGCCCTCCACTACGGCGTCTCTCATAATCATTGGTCGATTTTGGGACGATGAAACCCCACATATCAATCAATCACAGCGTGATTCCAGAAGTTGTGGCATTCTAAAATGGTAAATGCCCTTGTACTGTGCGAATGTCAGTGCACGTTAAACAATAACAGATCGTCAACTTTTCCAAAGCCCCCTACGATGGTGTCCCTCACAATCATACCATGGTTTCGAGACGTAAAACCCGAGATGTTTTATTATCAGAAGTTATGGCGCAGTATTTCATTGACACCTTCAAAGCCTGACTCTTGCACTGCATTGTCCTAGTGGGAGAAGGCACAATTTTTCGGGCTAATGCAGCCAGCCGTATTTTTGATAGCGGTGTTAAAAAAAAAATTGTTCCGTGTTGAAGTGAGTCATTGTTCGGGATTAAATAAAAGAATCCTTTTAGCTAGGTTGATTCTTGTGCTTACGACTTTTTATCTGTCCTTGCAAGTTTCTAAAACAAATTGTGCGTAGCTTTAAAAAAAAAAGGAGAATCGGTACTTTTTTATAACCCCTTCTCTTGCCAGTTCTCTTGATGTTTTTTTTGCTTTGAAGTTTTTTTGGGGGGCTATTCCGACATTCCTTACGGTGCATGTGAGATGGCGCAAGTTTGTAATATTCCAGACACTGGGAGCATCGTTCCATCCATGTGTCAGTTTTGCTGTATCGGGAAAGACGTGTTTTTATACTCAGTTTTCAGTACTGCAACATCTGTACAGGCTATACAGGTCTGTCGAGTTCAAACATTGTGCAATGCTATTGTGTTCAATGTCGCCTTGTGGCTAGTTTTTTATGATACAGGGCTGCTTGTCAATGCTGTATAGATAGCGCTTAGTATATACTTTTATAAAAGCCTTATATAGATGAAAAGAGGTGGCATGATGGTTGGTTTTGGTGCTTTTAGAGTTTTTTTTTTCCCCACGATGTAACCCGCCTTGGGGCGGCTCTTTGCCTCTTGTGGTAGTTTATATATGCTGCTACGATTTGGATCAAGTAAGAGATTCGCCGTGCAGTATTGTTGGACTCTGGACTCTTGTTGGACTAAAGGGTAATGGACGTGCGTGTGGATCAAAGTGATATTGTTTGCCCCCTTTTCTCATATTTTGATAAAAATGCTCACGGGAAATGAATGTGTGTGTGTGCTTCTGGAGTTCTTGTTGCTGCATGCCACTGAATAGCTTATGTATTCATAACTGTCTTAAACATACATTGTTGCGAGTATCTGTAGGCTACAGGCCTCTCTAGAGTTTGTAGGCACCTACTCAGTGTGGAGTAGAGTACCATGTAATAAAATTTCATGTTGGGTCGAAAAGGAAAAATGACAGCAAGGTTGTGTGCAGCCTGAATAAAAGACTTATCTTGTATGTCATGTTAAACAAAGTGCACCAAAATGTAACTGTTACTATGATTAGCCACGCACATAATTGTAATGTACTTACTTGCTGCCACTTCTAAAAGCAACTTATAAACACATATGAAACGTGTGAAAGAAAAAACTATAATTTATCATGCAGTGGGTACCCTTCAAATGTGCTTGTAGTAGTTACCCAAAGAATTTTCCAAAAAATCTCTAGAAAGGTCGCTCTTCCAGCTTTTGCTGCAACTGTGCTGCGCATTCCACGCAGGCCTATCAGTTTTATTGCTACCATTCTTTATGGGCCGATTTCTCACGTTCACTTTTGGTTTTAATTTCAAGCTTGCACACGTACAACCGAAGTACAGTCGCTGTACACTTTGTTTTATGAACACTATGTTCAATATCTGAAGTATGTTACATGCTGCCTAGCTTTTTCGCTAGTCGCACATGTTTTGGCCTAAAGTATTGTGGTTGTTAGCTCGAATCGGGTTACTAGTAGTGCTATGGAGAACTTTTTAAAGATGTATATTATTGTCAACCACGTATTTAGTGTCACTTCAAATACCTTGGAGGCCTCTTATACAGAAATCTTACATGAGTGGCTGGCACTGACACTTTCCGAAGTCTCGTTACAAAAACGAGGCTAGTTAGGTCTAGGAAGTTCACTGTTGCAGGGTACTAGCCATTCCACTCCCATAAATTTACTTGCCATATTGCCGAGCTTTAGAAAAGTGCCAACTTCCAGCAGCGTACACAATGATGGAGTATGACATTTTCAATTAAAATGTGCTGCATATTTCGAACTGTTTATACTATTTGCAATTAAGGCAACATATCAAATCACATGTGCACTCTAGCCAACGAATTTAAATGACGTTTTCTAGGTAGAAAGGGTTTAAAACTTAGACAAATGAGTGACTAGAACATCCAGTGCACTGAATTGAGTACTAACGCCTTAAAGTGCCAAAAGCAACTGAATGTTTTCTTTCTGTTGTTATTACTTAGCACTGGGTGTAACTAAAGGCAGAATTTCACAATCTGTGATGGCTGTGGTGGGAAGGTGCCAGATGTCTGGAAAGAAAAGTGCCACCCTAACGTCATAGCTGCATGCATTAATATAACTCCTCTCTATTAGACAGGATACCTGAGCTATATATGTATTTTTGTTTTTACTGCTGTATTTTAATTTTTTTAGTAGATTATAAACAAGAAATAATTGCAATATGTAGGGGCCAGTTGCTAGAAGCATTTCATTTACAGCTATATCTTTTCATGTCACCAAGGCCTCATTCGAGTGACGGTTGGACGCCATGCATCTAACTGTGACAAAACATTTCGCCCATCTTGCACTTTCATCACTCAAAATGTCTGGCAGGCTTGTTGCTTCAGCTTGTAAGAAGCGTTGTGTGGAAGCAGGCCCCGATGCTTAAACTTGCTACGCTTCTTAGTTGGAGCCTATAATACACGAAAAAAGTGCAAACGATTCAGCGAATATAGTGCGAGTTATCACTTATTCTGTGTAGCCTCCACAAGTGCACGAGCGAACTCGTTTGTGTGCCTTCTGCCCAATGCTCCACCAATGTATTGTCCACCTGATGAGTATTCATATATATGTCTATCCTTTAGTGTTGCAGGCAGCCAATTACAATCTGTGGAAATATCCAGGAGAGCCAGCAACACTGGGCCCCAAGCGCTATCAGTGCCGGTTCTGCAGCTACAGCACTGACTACTCGACTAACCGACTCCACCACGAACGATGTCACACCGGCGACCGACCATTTCGGTGCCCTAGGTGTTCCAAAGCATTTAGCCGTAAAGACCACCTGAAGCGTCACAAACAGGGTCGTTGCTTGCCTTCTCACGATTAATGACAGCATGTACTTTAGATGAAGCCCGGTATTTTGAGTATGGTTAATAAACGTCCCCCTTTGAAAGGTTGTTTAGTTACTATGCTATATATATATGATTGCACAAATGGCTGCACAAGCACCTTGTGAACACTGAAAAAATGGCATTCCGGGGAGGTTGCAAATACTTTCTAAGCAAATTCATTGTCACTGTTTCAGTATTTTCTTGATAACTGAAGCATAGCTTGTTGGATTCATGTGTTTTCTTGTCCATGTAATTCTATTTCCACTCTGTTGTGTCATTTCCATAAAAGTTTCGTAATTTCTGCGTGCTTTTTTTATGATGTTATGTTGCATTTTCTCTGCATTGCATACCAGCTTGCTGAAGCTTCTGTAAGGGGGTTTGCAGTACCAATAAATAAAATTTAAAAAGCTAATAAGTCTCTGTAACTAACGTCTAAAGTACTGCAGGCCTATGTTCTGCAAGTCACTATTAATCAACTTAAAGATACCTTGTTTGCACTTGAATCACTTTATTCAGTCTTGATTTGCAACTAAGCCACTTATTTCACTCTTGATAAACATTAAATCGCATGTCATTCTTGAATCACACTTGAGTCATGTGATTCATGTTTCATTCACATTTGACTCACTTGATTCACTCAAACATATGTTCATTCGCACTTTATTCACTTTAAATGTACTTTAATTCATAGCTGGAAAACCATTCACTATTTTTTTAGAATAAACTGTTAATTCTTATACGTGAGCACGAGACTGTTAGTTAACATGCATGAAGTTTGATTGTTGCAAAGAAGTAACATATTTTTGTCTAATAATTCTTAATGTTTGTATGTTCTCATCGGGATACTAACATACACTTTAAAAAATGACTCGCTCTCGTGGAATATCTGCTAGTCCGATATATCAGCAGTTTTAAACTTGTTCTTCAGGATGTCTGTGATTGGGACAATATATGTGAATGTGCCATAGATCCATGTCATTCATGAATATCCAAAAGACATGAAGCAAATAAAAAAAATGTTTCATTTGGAGAATGTTTATATTAGAGTGCAAAGCGATTGACTTTACTACTGCGAGCTAGTTAGTCTTATTCGAGTTAACTGCAAGTGCCTGCGTGATATATTTGGCTACTTATTAATACATGTGATTCCTTTCAACTCAAGTGCATTTTGTACAAAGCTAATTAAACAAATACAGTGTTTTCAATTTCATGCTTTATATCTCACAAACAAGGCCAAAAATGTGTGGGCCTTAATGTAAAGGACTTACGATATTAATACTTTAATGAGTCCTCAACCAAGGCGTGTCTAACAACTGCTAGCATAGCTCTGAGACTTTGGGCTTCACCAGTCAATAACTAAATAAACCAATTAGCCAAATAAACATTCTCTTGAAGATTTCTTGCTGTGATGTTAAACAGTTTTAACCAGTTATATTCGCTTCACAAAACACTACAGCACAAACATGCAGGATGGTGCTTTTAGTAACCTGCTGTGACCGTGCACTCAAACCAGAACCAGTGTTTCTCCGTTGCACATTACTTTCTTGGTTCACAAAGCACTTAATGTTGGCAAGCTTGCATTGCTGCAAAAGTTTTTGTGCAGCAAAAATGTACAAGCTACTGAACGCAATGAGAAGTTCACTCTATTTAGTTGAGTGCAGTGTCACGAATTTTTATTGATGTTGTGTTAGGGCTCAGCTTCATTGTGATATTTGTTTTTAAGGCAGTGACACTGCGATGCATCTGTAAAAATTAATCCTACTTAGACTTCTTTTTCTTTTTTTTGCTATAGTTGAGCTGTTTGTGAGTGACGTACAAGCATTAAATGTCTCTATCAACTTTTGGGCGTGGACTGATGAAAGTGCCCGCAGGGAACTTGCAGAATGAGCCATTTTGCTTTCATGCATTCCTGTTGTGCTAGCTAAGCGTGTGCATTATGTTTTGAATGAACACAGCTTTCCTGGCCACAGATTTGCAGTTGCTGGTCGTGATATGCAAGACACTCGATGTAATTTGTGTAATCTGTTAAAGCATAAGTTGTGCTATGGATGCATGTTCCAGCTGTGTATGTCGCTGTGTTGAATGTTGGTTTTGATAGTCTTACAAAGAAATTTGCATATATGTACATTAATTTGCATTCCTCTATGACTATTATAACCTGTTATTAATTAAAGAGACTTTCATGATGAGCATTTGACAACTGAACCCATTGCATTGTGTTTTAGTATTGGTAAGAGCCTACACACATGGAACAGTGATACTTTTGTACGTTTGTCTATAGCAGGCATGAATTTCATCGTCGTTGTTTTGGTTTGGATTGGCTGAACAGGAAAATACGTGTTGACCAGACAAACTGCTGTGAACTTTAATCTTTTGTGTCATATTAATGCCAAAGTTACACTGGGGATTACCGCATTTTGAAAACATAAAGATGCATTTTTGGCACCTACCAAATTTCTAACCATGATTTGAGACAGACAGTGCAGTTGTGTCATTTAGAAAGACCAGCATTACTTTCATAAGAAATTATTGTTCCTTTATCAAAATAGCATGACTAATAATTTGCACTTCAATTAATTAGAGCTAACGTCACTTGGCAAACAAACTGGTTGGCAAGCATTCCGAGTTGCTTCTTGGATAGCAAAAGCTACGAGACTACGTAGCATGCGTTTTCAAGATGTCTATCCCCATAGCTGCTGCAGATCATGTCAGTGGCTCAGGTGTCATTCTCGAGATTTTCCATAGAGCGTTGCAGCCCGTGATTAAACAAAATAATGTATTAAAGTGGCAAGTAGGGGTTGATAGTTGATATTTCTGGCACATTATAGCGCAAAACACACAACAGATGAGGCCACGCACAGCACTCCTCGTTGTCCTTTGTGTTCCTTCCATCTGTTTTGTGTGTTTCATGCTGTAGAGCGCCAGAACCAATGTATTAACGTGGTCTGGAGATCATCAGCTTTGACTGGCTTATGTAGCGAGGACCATAATGGGACCATTCTGACTGTTAGGGAAATTCGATTTACCAGCTAATCGAGAAAGTTGAACCGTTATTCGTAAAAGTAATGCTGGCATCTTCAAATAACCAACTGGCAGAGTCTTCCAATACGCCGTCAAAGTGCACTTGACCGAAAATCAGAGGCGCATCATTGTTGTATTGTACGGAAAATGTTCATTGTGTGAAACATGAAAGGCTGCGTGAGGACCACGCTTTTGGACACTGTGTTTTCCTGATTTCTTCGGTTTTTCAGAGGGGGGTCTTGCGATGGGGTTTAGTGCTGTGTAAAGTATGATGCGTTTGTAACAAATCACTGTATTTTCTATTTGTTTTTAAAAAAATAAACACACAGCGGCCGTCCAGCTGCCAAGGGATCTAACCTTAAGGCAGCTGCAGTCCCCGTGCGGTGACCACCACAGAAGTGGAAGCGGTGGAAAGCAGCGCAAGTTTCACTGCGAATACTGCTCATACACAAGTGACTATAGGTGAGAGTGTAAAGGAAATGTGTTTCCTTCATTCAGCCAAGTTTGTTCTTATTCTTTTAGTCGAAAGTGAATTCGCAGGATTTGGTGACCGGTCATATTGAACAAAGCAACCTCAATATGACTAAATTATGAAACAGATGATGCTATCTATGTACGCATGTTCACACATTCGTTCAATCAATCAGTCAATTGATCAAGGACTCCTATTTATGGGTGGGGAGACCCACTGCAGCGGTCCCGTTGTACTGCTGAGATAGAGGGGGCCGGTTCGATTCCTGGCTCCCGGGGCCACATGCTAGTGTAGACAGAATACAAAAACACTTGTGCGCAGTAGTTCGAGGGCAAGCCAAGAACCTCGAGAATCAATCTGGAGCCCTTAACATCAGTGTCCTGCAGCTTCCGTGGCCTTTCAATTCTTATATTTTAGTTTTTCATGAACATACGGGGTGGTCATGTGCAACTGTCCATGAACATGTTTCAATCGTCCGCTTATTGCACAGTAAAAAGTGCAACGAACGAGAAACAACGTTTTTTATGCGCTGCCTAATGAATCCAAGGAAAGTATAGGAGATACGCTCTGTTGTTCTTAATTCAAGTGGGCAAATTATGAGGTTAGGAGAATTTAAAGGGGACAAAATATGCCATGCTGCTAGTGCAAGCTGAGCGCATAACCTCTGCATTACGCACTCTGCACAGCCACTTATGCTAAGCGGGTGGCTGATTTTCTGCTCGCTTTCATGGGTATGTATATTTATCTGTGTGTGTGCTCACAAAGGCTGTGTTTGTCAGTGCCGCTTAGGGCCATGGCAGCGAATGGGACACAATATTTTTACCTGGTGACATCTTGCAGTCTGTGAACTACCGGGTTATAGTACATGTTTGAGGGCTTGGATTTGAATTCCTCTTTTGACAAAACTTTATGCCCACTTTGGTAGCATAGCATGTAACGTCTTTGGCTAAGGCTGCTAAGCTTTGGGATGCGAGTTTGATTCTTGGCCATGGTGGTCATGTTTTGATGGGGTGAGATTAGGTTTAAGGGCATATTAAAGAAGGCCAGGCGGTCAAAATTAATCTGAAGTCCTTACTGCTGTGCACCTAACAATCACAATGTGTTTTAGGCATGGTAAAACTTCATAATTGAAATGGAAATCTATGGGAGCAGCCAGCTGACCAAAAGTCACCAGGTCCCATCACCTAAATTGATTGCAATGCGAAAGCCATTGTCTGTTTCTTTTCTGCCGCTGTATTAATTTTGCTCCACCACTTACCAGAAACTTTCTGCAGCTAATGAGCTTTAGCATCGCCTCTGAAATGCGTCCACCTTTGACGTCATTATGTGATGTCACAGTGAAGTCATAGCGATATGATATCACAAATTTTGCTGATGTGTGATGTCATGATGACGTCATATGGTGACGTCATCACTCTTACTATGATTTTTTGCATCACTCATGTTTGCGCTGATGCTGCTGATGCACCATTTTAGTTTCTGCATGCAATGAGGCATCTAAGGCCTTCGTCTTAGTAAACTCTCACATCCAGCCTAAAGGCACCAGATCTGTTGGAGTCTTGATTGAAGAGATGCCTTGTAATGGAATGATTAAGAAGTGACACTACCTTCAAATTGGCTGCCTCCTAGTGCATTTTTTTTTTTTTTTGACTTTGCTCTGCCAATCGCACAGGGCAAAGCTGAATCGACACATGCGGCTGCACACTGGCGAGCGGCCGTACCAGTGCGAGGTCTGCGGCCGAGCATTCACGCGGAAGGACCATCTCCAGAAGCACCTGCCCACCCACGACGGTCGTGTGCTCAAGGACAGCCTCTCGAGTGACCACCACCACAACAATAATGGCAATGGCACCTTAGCCAGTGCCGCTAGCTTCCTGGGCAGCCTGCTCAGTGCCACCTCCCAGCACCCGTACCGGTGCAAGCTGTGTGGCCGTGGCTTTATCCAGAAGCACCATTACGAGCGCCATGCAAAGACCCACGATGATCACTTTGTGGACTATTAGCCGCGCCTCCCCAGCCTTTTGTTCAGTGACGATGGCTTTGCAGAGGCTGTCTGGTCGCACTCACAGCCTCCTTTGTATACACTTCTCTGCCTGCTAGGTCAAGTATAGCACTGCGAAATCACTGCCAGGAATGGGGCAAAGCACCACTGTCAGAGATGCTACCGTCTGGTGGCGGTTACGCAATTATTGGGGTGTGTCTCGTGCCTGTCCCAAACTATAATAGTCATTGGTCTTGCCTGAATTTTCTTTTTTTAGAAATGCCACACCTGCTGAAGTGTCATACTGACAACATGCATGTGATTTGTTATCTGGAAGTACGGGGCATGCAGTGACACATAAAGAAAAGGCAGGCAAGAGAGGCGATGGTCATGGTTTGGCAAGAAGATAAGCTCTAAAGAGCACAAGCTTTTCTTACGCTGTAGTCATAGCAGCAATCAAAAAGAATATAACATTAACTTCTGCGTTCTGCTGCTATTTTCATTCAATGAGGATTGTGTCATGTTCTGTCATTGCTGAAAATGAAGCAACTGTATGTCATGTGGAAAGCAACATTGAAGGAGAGAGAGTGTCTTTCAACCTGATCTAGCAGGTATCGAGTATATAAAGGAGGCTTTGATCAGTGTCAAGTCACTCACCAAAGGCAGGCGCAGTTGTGTCCAGTGTTTTCCTCGCAAAAATTTTTTTTTTTAATGACGCACAATCTTGAGCAGATTTCAGGCGAGTGCAGCACATTCGCCGTGCTGGAATCGGGCAGGGTGACGTTACTTCAGTACATTGTAAAGTGTGCTGAGCTGCCCCTGTGTAAATCATATAAGACCACTGCAGAGAGATAAGCGCACTGATGAAGAAGGTGATGGATCGTAATTTTGGGAGTGAAGATTTTCAGAGTTTACGCTGTCACCTTCTCAGTCTCGGTTTTCATCCTTATTCTGCTGGTCTTTATCTTGCAGAGACGTATCAGCTCTATTCCTTTCTGTGCAAGCTGGCATCCACCATTTAGCAGCCAGTACTAACTCTATGCCACAAACAGGCATTGTTGACCTTTGGTTCTTCATTGAATCAAATGATCTCTAATGGATATCAGCTGAGCTGACACGAAGCCAGGTTTCGTGTTAGTGTGAAATGCATGAAGGGCAAAATTCAGTGCGAGAAAGAATTCAGCGATATCCCATGTTTCCAGAGATGAGATGCCCTTGTTTACTGTACTGTGGATAAGTATAAATTGTAGTTTGCACTGAAACTGCCCGTTTCGCGGAACATAGCTTAGTGCAATCATTTGCAGACACTCAGCAAGCTGGGTTGGGTCAGAATTTGTGGCTTTGATGACAGTCGGCAGTTAAAGTTGTTGTCTTGCAGGCCCAGATTAGAGAGAGTTGAAGGCTGCTGCTAATAGCATCCTAGAAGCATGTTAACTCCATGGACGACTGCTCATCGGCCGACTACTATTGGCTCATCTTGAAGAGGCGTTGTGGCTGGCCCTATGCCATTTCCCTTGCCTCTGTGAAAGAGCCAGGACGAAGTGCAATGATGTGAATACTGCTGCCACCAATCCAGCTTTGTACAGTGTATCCCTTGATAAATGGGGATCTTGCTAATAGACTGGTGCTGTTCTTAATGTTTGCGTGCTCAGTGATTGTGTGAAGACCTTGTTAGGCCCAGTTTGAATTGTGTGTGGTGTGACCTGGATGTTGTGTGCCTGACTTAATTTCAATGGCCCACCGCTATAATCTTGTGCAGTTCTCTGAAGCTTGGCTTTTCTCGAGTACAAAGAGACGCAATATTGCGCTTGTTAATTATAGACTCGTCAAGCAACCAAGGCCGGTGCTCTTTCGTCGTGCTTATATCTGCAATGCAATATTACTAGTCAAACACGTAAAAAAATGCAGCTTTAAAATTGCAGTGCAATTTCATCTCATTTCATGTCATACACTTACACCTTTTGCTAGCTCCTAATGAACTTTGAACTTGTTCGAAGTACATTGCTCAACCAGTTCTAAGATTGCAGTTAAACGCTGTCAAGCGACAGTCAGGTTTATCGGTAGCTTGCCGCAGAAGGACTGACTTCTCTTCACATAAAAATAAAGGTTGTCTTTCTGCAAATTTCTCAGTCTTAATTTATTACACTAGTGCGTGAAGTCTCTCGAAGTGAGAGAGAAGAAATCTGCAAAGAAATAAAAGCTCAGAACAGTCTTGTTGTTGGTATGCGGTTCCTCAAAACTTTGATTATGGATCCTTGAACTGGTTGAAGCTGTGCAAAAAGCGTTCCATAAACATTCGTTTAATTAGTTTTGTTCAAAAAAGTGAAAGTGCGTCTACAGCAAGTATATTAACTATGCAGTGCAACCACTTGAGATTTGCACTTCCAGTTGGTGGTTGCCTCGGACTAAATTAGATTAAGAACTACAGTTTAGGTTTTTCTCGGCAAATTTAGTTGTTGCACAATGTGCTTTTTTTCTGCAGTGGCACCATTTTCGATGTCGCCCTAGAATCTGCAAATGCTGTTGCATGAATGTAAAAAACAGAACATGTTATGCTTAGCTGAATCTTCAAAGGTTTTGTACCATGCGTATGCAATCTTGGCTTCGATGGCAATCTGAGTGCTGATAATCTGTTGATAAGGGTAAAAGGATTTTCCGACAATCTGATGATGTTGTTAGAGAGCTCATATTTTGTAGTCCGAAAATTTCACTGCAGCCAAACATTCTACCCCATTTCATGTCAGCTTATTGTAGAAACGGTGAACTTTTATGAAACATTGTGCACTGGAGATTTAAGGTTGCACCTAAAGACTTTTATTGAGCTAGAAGCATTCACAGGTTCATTGAAGTGCTCAGTCCCACATTATTTGGAGTTCGTTGTGTGGGCACTTCAAATGGCAACATTGATCTCGATTCATACGGTACAATACTTCACTCATGTGACAATCTCATCTTAGTATGCACTATGGTCATATGATCGGCATTACTGAATGTTAATTGTGAAGGCAATCTGTTTAAAAGAGCTGTCGCTGACAATACTATGGATTAACTTGTTAGCAAAAACAATCATAGATAACATCCTTGTGACTAGTAATTATAAGTGTAGGCATTGTAATTTATGTCTGTGTTTCAATTTAATATGCAGCCACTTCTTTCTTTTGTTCACTTTAAAATGCACTAGCTGCCATTTTTTGCAGTTGTTTTGTCTTTGCAGAGCTGAAATATGTTTCTCATTCTCTTTATGAAATTCTTTATTCTCAGGGTGAAGTCATAAAGATGGAATCTCTCAATGACTTGTGGAGTTTCAATTTTATTGTTTGTTGCTTCCACTAAAGTGCGGTGTGTCATTTTTGTTTTTCATACTGTATGCAGGGATTGAACCGTCGTATATTCACATATTTTGTTGTTTCTGTTATATTTGAAACCCGTCACTTTTTTTTGTTATCGCAGAGCTGCGATATCTGTCACTTAGTTGCTTTTGCATGGTGCCATATTTATTCAGTATATTGTTATCAAATAGTCTCGTGTGCAGGCAGCACAATAAAAAGAAAAATCTCCATGATGCAGGCCAGGTTATTCCGAGATCAGTTGTTGTCTTATGCTTTATTACTTTTTTTAGGTGTTTTCCAAAATGTTCTAAATACCAAAGTCCTTGTTGCTTGGACTGAGCGGTCTTTCGTGTTCAGTGCTGAATCCTCGCCCTTGTTATCCTCTTTTTGCGAGCTTGTTAATTTTTCATAGTTTCAGCTTTTTGAAGAATGGAAAGAAAGAACAAGATGTTTTCTTCTATTGTTTGTTGCATTTAGTTGCGAAAAAAACTTGAGCTCGTGTCTCGCTGAGTTGCTCGTTTGCACCGAGAAACCTTTTCCTCCTATTTAATAGCCTGAAACCCGACAATCTCTGGACTAAGTGATAGAAGTACAGTGCGGCTCGGGAGACTTCTCGTCCTTGTACCTCCAGCTTCGGCTCACCTCGGATCACGAGCCTGTAAGCTTGCAGAATAGTGGAACTGCTTCACTTACAAAATAAACTGGTGCTAATGCTTGCTTTCGTCAATTTTTTTTAGTCGTTTGTGTTGTTTATGGTACTGAAATGTGCTTATAGCTCTTTGAAGTTTAGTTTTATTTGTATGGAGCTAACAGGCAGGGATTGTCATTTGTCTAGCTTTACTATGAATATGAAACTTTCTACTGCAAAGATGCTGCGGCACCTTTCGTTCTGAATTCTGTTGTTCATTTCGTTGTGAGTTTTGCGTCGTGACTCTAAACTATAAGCGGTCGCCTCATTTGCTGACTCAGTCAGTAGATAACACTAAGATCCTCGAAAAAGCAAGCAGACTTTTAAAAAAGAAGTGTAATAATGTATGGTCTACCTGATTTATGAAATTGTGAATGCAATTTCAGAATCAATTTTTCTATTGTTATCACTATCATTATTTTATTTGATAGCCAAGCTCATTATTAAAATCGCATTACTAGGTGCCCTGTTAAAACTTTCACTATTTTAGACAAGCGAAATGCTAACTTAAAAATGTCAGAAATGGAATGCAGTCTCCTTGTTCTTATTGTAAATAAATCAATGAATAAATAAAATAGTCATATAAAGCTTTGATTAAAAGATATGTAAACTTGTAGCCGTCTTATGTGATAACATCTTTTTTTATTATAAAGCACTTTTGTCACCACATGCCAAAGCCCAGATTAACATTTGCACAGTGTAAAAGCTATTTATTCAAGAGAGATTAATATAATACAAGTTAACCGGTGTTTTTTTAGCGGAACCCTGTGCAGCCATCGTAGCAAGCTGTACTGCATCATTTTATTACTACAATGTATAGATAGCACAGATATTCGTTTGCAGAACTATGTACTCGTGTGCTAGGTTTGCTAGTAGGAAGGGAGTAAGAGAAAAAAGAAAACGTTTGTGTTCCCTTGTAATTACATGTATCATGATGTCAGCGTGAATAGCCACTCTTGTAGCACGTTTGAAGAGCGAGAGTGTAAATCTGTTCGTCAGGAAAGTACGTGTGCGCAATAGTTGCTCAAATAGGTTTGCCCGAGCTCTTCTGTAATTTGCCCGATTGCTTGTCAACTAATATGCATTACTCGCCTGTTATGCCACTTAACATAATTAAGACTGAACTTAGATTGCATCGACCACCTGTAAACTGATCATTGTTAATATGATCATTTCTGTACTAATGTTGTTGCAGAAAAGAAAACAATGAAATTAGATAGTCATTTATGATAATCATTTAATATAATCAGTGAAGATAATCAGTGAAGATAATTATTCTAGATAATCATTGTATATGACTGTAAAAGTTTTCAAATGTGATGCATGCCCCTGTTAAACAAGCAGCTTCTTTCAGCATTTACTGTCCATCTTTGTGGCAAAATATAACAATGGAAAAGTGCATTGACGCCTATGTTCTTATCTTTGATAGACCTCCGCAAAACTGTTGAGTCAGCTTTCCAACAGAACAACAGGGCTGCACACAGGAAAAGTGGCGCTACAGTTGTTTATTACACTTATTCGATGCACTTGAATGGCTGCAGTGCAAGTGATCTAGCGCTAGACGTAGCCAAGACAGCACCTAATTGTTTCCCTAGGAAGCAAGCTGCAACATCACAATGAAAAGGCTTTCACTTTGCTGGAAAGCTGACATTTGATGGCTCAGTGAGTACATAAACAGTGCAGCATCAACAGCATTGTGGAATGTTGGCATAGAAAAAACATGGGCAGCCGCAATGGCAGTGACATTTGGTGGCGTTGTTTATACCAGAATGTCTTGGAACGCTCTTCCCCACTTGACATACATATTGGCAGGTAGAAATATAACATTAGAACAATTGCGGCAATACGAGACTCTTGTGCCGGAAAAAACTATCACTTTGCGGTGTGCTACTCATGGTGTAAGGTTATACCCCTTGGTATAATCTGCGCGGTCTGCCGTGTAGTTAATCTGTTTTCGGTTTCCCAATGATGTGCCAGTTTCTATAGGAATGGGAGATAAAAACCTGTCGGTCTAGCAATCGCATCTTTTTGCCAATTAAATGGCTGTCACCAAATGATCCAAAGGGTGAGCATCATTGATGCAGGTTCTGGTCAATCACATCTCATGTTTCCTCACCTAAACTATCTCTCTGACACTGTAGTGACACTTCACCAGATGTCACCACCATTACTGATGTTGGTGCTTGAGAGGTAGCGTTCTAGTAAGACAGCAAACATTGAAGATGTTATAGTACTCTAAGTACTTTGTTGAGGCTTCGTAATGTGTTCAAGTGTGTTCAGTACAGTGTTTCACTACACTTGGTCCAATAGCGGCACCGCTCGGGCTTGCTACATACTCCCAGGAGCATACTGCGTGCATTGTATTTCTTTTGATGATCAGTTTATGCCCGTTTTTGACATGTGCTGACTACTTGAGCTCTGTCCATTCACATAGAGTTTGTAGATTCTTGGGTGAAAGTTGCTCAATATGTGTTTCCTTGCCTTATGTGCTAATGTACCGGTGTGCCACTATATCTCATTGATAATATATTGAAGTGTATACTCCAGTGTTCCCATGTATTTTATGTCTATTTGTACGTGTTAATGTTTGTGTGTGAAAATGACCACAACAGTCCATCACTTGTCAAAAGTTTAGAGCAGATGACCTGACATAATCTCTCTCCCTTTTGATTATTGTTATTTATTTATTTTTTCATTTATTTACTTTACTTCCTCTAGTCAAACCAGTGTACCAATCTTCCGAAGCATGTGCAATGGGGATGCTTGATTCATGACGCGAGGGAAAATAGCGCGCAGCGACAGGACACTTTTGCTGCTTCGAAGAATTAGCATTTAGTTGTTAGTCATTGCAATTGTACGCCCATTCATGTGTCCTGTTGTTGTTGACTATTTTCTCTCTGCTGCTGATCTTGGCAACCTTAAAGAAAGGGGCTTTTTAAGTTGTTGACTGGCTCTCTAACGCGAAAATGCACAGTGGGATAACTTCTCTGGTTTAGTTCGCACTCTAGGTTTGCTCAGCACCGTTTCTTCTCCAGTTACCACTTAGAGGAGAAACGATTTTGTAGTGCATGTGCAGCTCTCGAGAAAGCATGTGCTACTTGCCAAGCAGATAGGCATGGCTGCATGTCAGTGTGACCCTCTCCGAGGTCTCCTTTTCTTGTTTCTTTTTATTTGTGAGATTAAGAATGACATGCAGAGCTCCAAAGACAGATATTAAAGCCAAGACTGGATGGAGTTTATTGTCAAGTTTTCATTTTACAATCAAAGCAGTTCTGAGGCCTGTCTGATCTGTAATTGCACAAACTACACCACTTGAACCATAAACCCACATTTGAATCGCTGATGGGCCAGCAGCACCTTGAAAGGTTTTCAAAGAGTTAAATGCTCTGGTGGCTCTGCAACTTCTCGCAACAGTTTCATTAGGTGAAAGCCACTAAGAAAAGTTCTTGCAGTTGAGACATTCAGCTTAGCTTTAATTTAAAAGTACACTTTCTATTGATCTGTTTTTGTAGTTGTGGAATTGTATATGCTGAATCATTACAAGCTCTGCAATTGTGGCACCATGTCTTGCCTGCACGCACTCATAACATCGCATAACATCGCATCGTACGCACTCATAATGCATATGTTACTTCCTTAGGCTTTGCAGCCTGAGCGATAGAAAAGGCGGGTGATGATCAGTTGATAGTGCTCCTGTAATTTTTGCTGTTTACAGGACCTGTGAGAAAATTCTTTTTCACTGAATATCTGGTCTGAAAACTGGTGTATTTAGGTGCATGCACTCTCTTTATCGGTATGTAACCTGGCAAAAAAAAAAAAAAAAGATGTCGTGATGCAATGTCATACTAACAGCAGTTGAATATTGTGTTTGCATTTGTTGATGCTTGCATGGATTGATGTAAAAGAGTGAGCGAGGAAAATCAGAAGCGTATGAAACATTGAAAAAAAGGAACGCAAGAATTTGAGCTAACTCACTCTAAAGAGGATTCTCTTACATTTGGAAGATTATATTTAGCATCTGCTTGCTCATGCAGAATCGTAGTTAGTATGATGTTCACAGTTTTTATTAAAAGTAAAATCTGTTTAACGTATTGTAATTGAGACATAGTAGTCCACGCTGATACTAATGTAACGAGGATCAGGTTTAAATTGACACTAAAGTCGAATAACAATTTACATCAGAGTGAAAGCTCAATGTATGAAAACATCTAAAATGACAACGTTATTAACAGCAGTGCCCTACTTACTGCGAAATTAAGGAAAATTAATGTAATTAATTGAGCAGCACAGTAGGACGTTCGCAAATAACGCCGATGACATTTGATAAACTGCCTACAATTAATCACTAGTAATCGATCTAACTGCACTAAATAAGGAACCTTCCGTGCATCAAGAGACATAATGAAATGCTGCTTGTTCTTTTCTGTTTGATTCATGGAAAAAAGAACCGCGGGATGTTACTATGGGGATTGGCACGCGTAGCTCAAAAATTCAATTTTCGCCTGGTTAAATTGAACAGGCTGTGCCATCTAGCTGGGCCCACTTGAACCAAGCATGCTTGCAATTTCGAAGGCCATGGCTCAAAATTGTTCAATGGCCATTGCTGCTGTGGCTCCCGCTACCTTCTCTCTGCTGCTACTATAGTGTTAACGGTCGTGCATCAAAAACAGTGACATCAGACATTCTTTTTAGGTGGATAATTTGAAGTGCGCTAACCCGATGCAGACCACTAAGACACGATTTTATTTCAAAATAAGCCCTTTCTTGGCACAAAAATAACACTAAGAGGTTTCTGGACAGTTATTTCAACAATCAATGTCGACTTAATAGATGCCTTTAGTGTCCCTTTAATGAAAGCAGCATAAATAGCAGGCTGGAACTGAAAGACATTTGAAACAGTTGTGCACATTTTATTGCCATTTTTTATTCAATTTTTTTGGCTGCTCTAGTTAAAAATGTGCGTTCACATTGTACATTTCTGTTCACATATCCTTTCCCAGATGAATTACACATCCTTCCTTCTTTTGGTGCAGGGAATTCACATAAAGCTACAGTTTGGTTCTTACTCTGTTATGGCTTCTTACTTCGTGGATCACACTTTTCTGGTTGAGGGCTTTGTATTTCAAAGTGCGTACTCTTTCGATCTTTGGGCTTTTATGAATGTGTGACCAGTATGATGGTGAGATTTTGCCTTTTAGTGATTTTGGTTGTGGTTAATGCTACTACTCTATGGTTGTGGTTAATGCTACTGCTGCGGTAAAAATGTGCAGGGAGTTTGTGTGTCAACCTATATGATTTCTATGTAAGCTTACGGTTGGCCAAGGGTTTTTAATACCTCTACAGTAAACAAGCTACAGCTTTCCTTTTCATATGTTTTTTTATTCATTGCACTAAGTCATTGTTTCTTTGGCTAGCAGATCTAACATAAATGTTTGCAGAAGCTTCACATGAGAGCTGCTGTCTTTGTGGAAGCTGATTATTTTGCAAGTCCATCACTTTGCTCAAGTAAATCCAGTGTGCAATTCCACTAGTTGATTGCCAAAATCAAGACAACCAACACACATTTGCACATTTATTTTGCACGATATGCAATGGTGCCTATATTAGCTGTGCTGCTCTTGCTCAGGAAGGCAACGCTGGGAAATTAGCATGCAGTAATAATTTCCAGCTATTTCTGTAGCTGATGTGCTCCCTGTCCTTTGAATCGGCAAGCAGAATTCGACACATTAGTCAGGAAAGCCCATTTAACTAAATTGGCAATTTTAATTTCTGGAAGCCATTCGGCCCTTTATTTAAAATGTGACCCTTAGAGTTACTCCACTGGGTGCTCCTACGTGGGGACAGTTAGACCTCTTCGTACTGTAATAGGCCCTTTGCGACTCGTTAGTTTTCTGTTCAATACCAAGTCGAAATCCCAGACAATCTTGCACAAGTGGATTTGTCTAGAAAAAGTGCAAAGCAAGAACAAGATCAAGATGGCTAAAGTTTATTGCGTGACAAAATCCACTTTTATTCGTGGCTCTACACTGCTGTGTGTGCTTTGAAGAATGTCTGGAATGGCAAACTACAATGTGTTTCAGTTTGGAGTTGTCAGAATTTTGCTATAGTGAATACTACTGTATATGCAGGGACACAGTGAGAATACCTGAAACGTTATCTCTTAGAGTTCACTTTGACATTATTTGCTGGGGTTTTCTTTAACTTGCATCCGGCGTGAAACTTCTGACATTCTTACTTTCAATGTTTTGCTGCCTTTTTGTCTGTGTTCTCTCTATTCAAGCTCTTATGCTGCGTTGGAGAGCTCATATTGAAAATAATAGCTGTCCTTAGGAATGCTACCAACATTATTCACGTTCTACGAGTACTTAAGGTGTAATATACTTTATTCTTGTTGCACAGTGCAAAAGAGACGTCAGTGTCAGCCTGCGTACCTTGTGAGCTATTTAAAACGTGCATCCATCGCAAACAATCCATGCATGTGACGATATTTTTACGTATTGTTTTAGAATTGAAAACTAGGCAGATCCAATCAGCCTATGTAATTGCAAACATTTCTTTTTTTTTTCTGTGGAATGTGCCAGATTGATGCAATTATGTGAGATATATTTTCAGGATTATCAGGGTAATATTTGTCTGTTAACACTGGCAATGTAGCCATGGCATCATTGCCCCCCCCCCCCCCCTCCGCCCCCATCACACATTTTTTTTTTTCTGGGCATCAAATTGTTGTTGGTCTGAAACACCTAAGTGTGTTTGCGATCATGCATAAGTTTTACTGTGCTCGGAACAAAAGTAGAGTATAGTTCACATCAAGTACGTATGGTATTCATTTTTTTTTCTTTTTCTACAATGCACTAATGTCACCATGAGTGTTGTGTGTTGGCATAATGGGAAAGTGTAACACCACATATTTTTTGTATTTATTGCAATAAACAATCAATTTCATGCACAATAACTGAATTGCCGATTTTGTTATTATTTTTATTTGGGCCTATGTGTGCACTCTCGTCTCACAAGTGCATGACGAAGAAGTACATGGCGAAGAAGCATGGCGAAGAAGTACGTCATGCACCCGATTGCACGCTGTTCCAGTTACACGTACTATGCACGAAAAAGGTTGCAATTTAGGCTGCTTGATACAACTGTTGGAAAACGGCATCTACCCCTTTGAAATGCTGCAAGGTGACCTGCACGTTTCGGTGAGTTGGTGTGAATATATGATGAAAATAATTAGACAGCACAACGTTTATTGTAGGCAATAGATAAGATGTCGTGCACTAATGCGTACGTACATAATATGTGTATGGTCGAACTGCACATGCAGCAGTTTTTACAATCCCTTTGCATTTGTTTTCACGCTGTACGTAACATTGCCTTTTCAAATGTGAGATTTAGATTGACAGCCAATATCCCTAATTGTGTTCGTACGAACACAGATACATGTTAATATTTAAATTGTCGTACATTGCGGGATTACTTTAATGCTGCTAGTCCAATATTATGGCTACAATTGATGGACTGCGAAAACGTATGTTTTTTTTTTTGTTGCGCTAGAACAGAAAATGCAGTCTTTATCAATGCAGCGCATGGAGACCATTGATAACATTTGCCACATCTTACTGCTGTCTTGCTGAAAACTACCTGCGCGCTCGAGTTAAAAGCAAGCACGCGGCAGTTTTTAAACATAAATGTCGTGCAAAACCACGTTCGCCGATTCATTATGCTAGTCGCCTATTAATTTGTGCGGTCGCACGTCCAATGTTACCGCGGCCGCAGTATGTGCGGCTGCCGAACAAACGCGCCGATTCGAAACCGAAACTAACGATTGCGCAGTTAGCATGGGGCATAGAGTAATGGCGTTAGGCTATGATCATCTGGTGCTGCTGCCTGCATTCTTTCGAGGATTCGCTCGCAGGATTTCAAGCTGGACGGTTGTGCCCTCGCGATCTCCGACTTCAGCGTAGCTCCCGCCGACTGGTTCGCCCTCCGCGGTCTCCTGACGCCGTGTAGCTCTCGCATTGTGGCACCCCGCCCTTGGACTTCTTCGACCGGATCCCCACTTTCCTATCTCCTTCTTTTTTCCTCTCGTTGGCTGTCTTCTTCTGCTTCTACTTTCCTTCTATTCTTTTTATCCCTCCTTCCCCCCACCCCTATAAGGCACTGCGCCGTGTCGCCTGAAGGCAGACAGAAATTAGGTGCCTTTTTCCTCTTCATTCTAATCACTACCACCCACCCATTCTTTCGAGATATCTTCTGATCGAGATAATGCGGAGCCCGAGCGTACGAGGAGACAGGCATGTGACGCAACATGATACGTATGGTGGCAGCGCCGTTATCACCGAATCACGCCCCTCGGAGGTCACAAACCACTTTCGCGACTGGTCGATACCACGAAAAGCGACAGGCGCTGCCCCAAGTTCGCGTGTTCCTGCGCCTGCGCCCATGCAATGATGATGCTTCTGCCGTCGGCGCTGTGAATGCTTTGATGGGCCTCTTTCACTAGTTGATCGCGCAGAGCGAGGGCGCGAGTGCGGTGTTTCGAGCGCGGGCGGCTAGTCTGGAAACATATGGCTCTGCTCTGAACCAACAATACGAGCTCCTCGCGTCGCGTGACTCGATCGTAACGACTGATTCGCTTCCACAGAGAAGATCCGTCAACAACGTTAACATCGAGCATCACTGCTGGGACAGGTTTCACAGTCGACAATGTCGCTGCTCACCAAAGATGAAGAAACTACGAGCGAAACACTGCTGTCGAAGAAACGCCGCACTTTCAGAGGTAAGACGTACAGATATGTATGTGCTCGGCTAAACGCTGCCTGCGAGTCTCCATCAGCTGGGTCGTTTATCCCTTCCCCGCGCGCGCGCGCGTTAACTCGATCGCCGGCGCCGACTGCTTAATTAAGCCGGCCCATATTTCAGATCCCCTGCTCGATTTTTCCGATCGAAAAGGTTGCTTGTAGGTCACGATCCACATATACTGTGACAAATGTCTTTGGCACTTTCGGTTTCGGACACGACATACGCTTGACAGTGCATTTGGGGAGCGACATACGCGGACTGATGCACTTAAGGCAACACCTGTTCAGTCATTAAATTTTCCTACCAGCTGTTGTTGCTCTATTGATGTGATTTTGACGTGAGTACGTTCAATGCCTTAGCAGCTTTTTTTATTCCTTGGCCGCTTCACATCTGTGGTTACTTCGATTGAAAACAAAAAAGGGTCGTGTTGTAAACAAAAAAAAAAAAAAGATCGAGAGAGGGGGAGATCGGCTAGTAAAGAAGACAACAACAACAACAAAAAGAGCACATTGGGTCTTCGCCTCTAAACGAACAGCTCAGACAGAACCGAATCGATTATCAATAGAAAGTAAAAACGCAGCGGTTGTCAAGAAATTTTGTTTTCTCTATGGAACCTCAAGGCAGCATATGCTACAGTGTAGCTTTGAGACTGTCATGGTTTAATCTGTCGTGCTCAAAGATTAGGAACTGCTAGCTGCCCTATATATGATGTGAGAAGCAATGTTTAAATGCATGCTCTTCCTACTTCAAGCTTAGAAAGGTAATTGTATTTAAAATCGCCATATTTCTTAAACTCCAATGAATCCTTTCACTGCACAACGTATGCATGTGTTTGTTTTAGCTTGGAGCGTAATATATAGCATGCACCAGATGTACAAAATTCTTGATCTCACTTGTAAGTCATGTTTAGCCAGTGCTCTTATTATATCATGCACAATCATAACTTCAGTGTGTGCTTCAGTGCAGGAAAGGCAGCGCAGTATTTTATTCATGTAAATGTATGCATTCCTGAAATAAAGTTTGATTTGATTTGATTTGAAATAATGTATATGGCATCAGTAAACTAAACTTAACAGTAAGTGCCTTGCTGCTAATGTGCAAGATCTTTAATGAATTGTCATAAACAGAACTGATGTACTGAAAGCCAATGATATTTTACTTCTTAGCACGCTTCACAAACAGATCAGAATTGACTAACTTTCTCTGCTTCTTGACCACAAACTTCTGTTTGGCACCCTTATCAACCAGACCAGCAAGGAATCATCATGCTAATCCTTTATGCCTTAATTATTTCTGTATAAGTGATGTTTATTAGTTTATCATACCTTCCACTTACGGTATCAGATTGGAATGAAATAATTGAGGCATCCTGATTGCTCTTAGTCTCTTATTCCGCAAAAAAGTAGCTTTGCCACATCATTGCGGTTTTAAGATATTTGCTTATCGTACCTAGTCTTTCGTCCTCTCCGTCTCTCATTCCACACTAAATAAGCATTGTTGCACCATTGTAGTCTTCCAATTTTTTTTTTATGGAAGCCATTGTTTCTTCCTCTTAATCTCTCGTTCCACACCAAAGTAGCCTTGTCACACAATTGCAGTCTGCACATATTTTTTTATGGTAGCTATTGTTTCTTCCTCTTAATCGCTTGTTCCACAACGAAGTAGCATTGCTGCACCATTGTGGTTTTCACATCCTTGTTATTGTAGCTATTCCTCCATCCTTTGAGTGTCTCATTTCACACTAAAGCGGCATAGTTGCACCTTTGCAGTCTTCACACATTTGTTATGGTAGCACTATTGTGCCCTAAATAGTAAAAGTGGTTCTCTTGTTTTGTATTTATTTTGTTCAAATTCATCTTGCTACAGTAGCCTCGAAACATATTCTTTCATTGGTACTTAGATTTTTTTAATATGGCAGTTATTGACATTTATTGCAAAACAGTTTCCTATGTCACTTTTTTGTATTAATGTGTCTGTTACACCTATTTCAAGTTCCACGTCCATTTCTGTATTATGACACGATCTTGACCCTGCACATCTGCGTGAACCCAAGAGTCTGCTCTATGTAATAAGCGAAATATTTTACGCATTGATGGAAAGCATGCCGCTTATTTTGCCATCCTGTACATGTACAAGTAAAGGAAATAGCTATGGGCTCTTGGCTCACATACGTATGGTTGATTTTGTGACGGTAATAAGTTCAGTGCATTATTTTGTTCAAAAGTTTCGACTGCGTGAAGGCAATTATGCACTTTTTTTCTCGATTTCAGGGATATACGACGCTGTGCAGACCCGTCACGTGCTGGCACTTATGGGATTTTTGGGCTTCGTCAATGTGTATGCGCTGAGGGTGAACCTGAGCGTTGCCCTGGTTGCCATGGTTAACCACACAGCCATTCTCGCCAACAGTACTCCTTCGTCAGGAGAGGAATGCAAGGCACCATCGAATAGCGCCAAGGAGAAAGTCCAGGTATGATGCAGCTCAGTATATTTCTTTCCCGCATTTCAGAGCAACAAACTGGATGTCATATGGTTAATCTTGCTACTATAGCTTTTCTTGCTTCACCCCCTATCTTTATGTACGGGTAACCTCTTTATAGGAGGTGTGCTCTGAGTAGCAATTTTTGTCTCTTATACCAGATGCCTCTCTTAAGCAGGGTACCTCGTATGCATTTCCTTATCAACCCGTATTTCACTGTAGGCACAATGGTGTCTCTTATATCAGTGTTTTATAGAGGGGTTCGATCTTAATATGACTATTATGTGACAGTAAGCTGTACCTTTACTCGAATTCAAATTAGTCGAATCTGCTTTACAGTTGCAAATATCTGTTGTGATGGGCCGGTTAGATTCCTTCGGTGCTCACACATCACTTAATTTTGTAACACTATCTGTAAACTTGATGCACTGTACCGGGGAGCTGCAGTGTTAACGTGAATCGGAGAGCTATCATGTTGTAAAGAAAAAGGGTAGCGAACCTTCACTGCTTCTCAAAAAAACAAAATATGAAAGACGCTTAAGCTTCTAGTTTAAACGTGGGTGAATGCGATAGTGTAATAAGGCCCCCATTCGCATCGCCTCATTCGCTTGCCACGATTCGCTTTGCATTGAACAAGCCAACTGTGCTGTGAGGAGTGAGCTTCCATATGTGTCACATACTCTCTCCCTTGCAAAATGTATACAAAGTTGTAACATATTGCATCAAGATTAATTTCTATTTTTTTTTAGAGCAATCCAATCTAACTTTACCAAGTTATAGTTGTAATGGGTACATTTAAAATAAATATTGAAGGAAGCAAACTTGCATCAGTTAAATCTTATTTTACACAAAAATTGCTTCCACTAAAACAGATCGCTTTGTTGCCCTGTTTCATTGCTCTTGAAGTTGTGAAGACAGCAGATGGAGTACGCATTCCTTTTTTTAGTATAATGCTTGGCGGCGATTCTTAAAGTGATCAGGGTTATTGTCTCTTGTCGCCTTTCCAGGATGGAACGTTTATATGGAATGAATATGAGCAAGGCATCATACTGGGTGCCTTCTTCTACGGCTATGTCATCACCCAGATTCCTGGAGGTCGTCTGGCCGAACGGTTTGGAGCCAAATGGCTCTACGGTGTGGGTGTGCTTATCACTGCACTGCTTACTCTTCTCACGCCAGCTGCCGCCTCTTGGAGCATCTATGCCTTCATCACCATCCGAGTCATGATGGGCCTTGGAGAGGTATGCCCTGCGGATTTCTCCAACTTTGGTAAACAATTACCAAATCATTCAAATGGGCATGGGTTGTGGACATTGAGAAAATATAAAAAGAGAGAGACACTAGATCCTCGTTGAGCTATGGTGCTAGTGTAGAGTTCCCACGGACTGCCTGATTGACCAACACCTCAGTCATACGCCGAGATTAACTGCTCCATCCCTAATCTCCTCTCAAGGGAAAGCTACTGAAACCAGAGTGTTCTGGTTTTGGTCACATCACACAGGTTAACACTTCAATAAAGCAAAAATTTATGCTGGCCGAAAATGAAAGTTGGAAGAAAATAACATGTGCCGTGCGTGCGATGGTACTTACTGGATATTCCCAAATCACGGGGCATCTGAGCTAGGTTAACACTCTCATAATGAATGGATTAGTCCTTATGTATTCGTGGTAGGGGCTTTCATCAACTTGGTGGCACATAATAATAAAGGCTCAGTAATTGGCCTCAATAATATATATGTATTTGCACGATTGTAAGACGACTTGAATGTAGGTCGACCCTCCTGAAATGGCACGAAAAAAAGGAGCACGAGCATATTGCATGAAAAAAATTATTGACTATGTTTCCAAAAAAAAAAAGTCAGTTTTGCCACAAGGGTGAAGCAATGAATGCGATAGCAGCAACTTGGAATGTAACGCTGAGAATGGCTAGCTGATCAAAATGTGCAGGCTGCTGCCCACGCACAAATGACGCACAAAAACAACACACACAGGATGAGAGCTAACTAACAATGTTTACAGCTTGACGCTTAATGCGCTGTTTAAACAAAAACAACGTACGGAACATAAAAGCGCACGTTGGTGCATGCGACGAGCTAGGTGTCGAGCGTGGGCGGCATTTTTTCTTTCTCGAGTTTTCCTATATATAGATACGTATACATATATGGTGTATGACGACGGCAGGGATGACAAAAACCAGCTGAGACAGTACTTATAATTGCTATCGCAATAAAAAAGCTTAGTAGAATTACACTGTGCCAAGATGGCTTCACGTTAGTGCTTAAAAGCTGTGCAAAAAAACTAGCTTTGCAAAAATATGCAGTGATCATTTTCAGAAACATTACAACCGAAACTAGTTTTCTATCCTAGGTCGACGTCCTGGATTCGGATTTCAAATTAAGACAAAATGTGTCGACCTACAATCGTGTAAATATTCTAATTGAGACTGGCATGTTGGTCTTGCCAGAGGTGCGTATTGTTATGCCTGCGAGTCGACAACGAACGTCCGTGCCTCTGAAAAAGGCAATCTGTGTCAAGGCCAGCCCGCGTCGCCCGCCTGACGCGATCAACAACTCAACGGCGCCTTTCTGGCGTGCACGTGCAGTGAGTCATCTTCGCAAGCGAGCCCGTCGAGTAAACAACTGGCGCCTTCCTGTCTGGCGGGTCTGACGCAATGCCTTGCGACGTCACTCGTCCTTGGGTGCAGCCACCTGCAGCGCAGCCTCTCCAGATTTGAGGAGAAAGAAGGACGCGGCCCAGCGGCGACCTCATTGGAGGATTCTGACCTCGCGACCAGCGGCGCTTCGGGTTGTACGTTTGGGTTGGACCCGGGGCATATAAAAGAAGCCCTGCGGCGCTTCGAGAGACCCCTTTTTACAGCGGACCCATTTAAGAGCAGACCTATGTGTTAGAGAGGAGAGCTCGGCTCTTCGAGTCTCTGTCGGCCCCAGTGCCGAATTTGTAACGCCTCTGTATATATGCTATACATAAACCTTGTTTAACTCACCGTCGTCTCGTCCGCTCGTCTATCAGCTTTGCGCAGAAGCAGTCGCGAGCTGAAAAACCTACGCTACCAAACGGCTGGTGACCTTTCCGGCGGAGTTCGAAGCAGTGGTGCCTTCGGGGGCGTCGCCGTCTTTCGAAACAGTGGTTGCAGCGGTGAGATTCGAGGCCCCCTTCGTAACGTCGTCGGAGGCGCGCGTCGCAACAGTGGTTGGCAGCTGCGGGATCGGCCGGCGTCAGCGACATCGATGCGGTGAGTGCCTGATGTTTTCCCCTCAGTTCACCAGACTACTCTAGCTCAGGTTGTAGTAGTTTAGAGAAGGGCTGTGTGAAGCATTGAAGTGAGCTTTGATCGTTTCAAGCCAAGTCGAAGCACTTTGAAACCAAAGTTAATGCAGAGGGGGTAAACATGGGAGTGTGAAAAATTGCTTGCGCGTCTTGCTAGTTGACTTATAGTAGGTACGGCAAGTAAATTGTTAACAGGGGCAAACAGCAAGAGGCTAGTATGAACGATGGAGAACCTTAATATGAAGGAACTCATCGAAATTTGTGAGGAACTTGGCCTTACTTTGGGCCGTTTGAAACGAAAGCAAGCGATCCTTGAGATCATGAAGGATGAGGGAGTGTCGGCTGAGGAAGTCGATGAGGCCTGGGTGGATATCAAAGCACGCCGCGAGGAGGCTGAAAGGCGAGAAGCTCGCGAAGAAGCTGAAAGGCGAGAAGCTGAAAGGGGAGAAGCTCGCGAAGAAGCTGAAAGGCGAGAAGCTCGCGAGCGGGAAGAAGCTGAAAGGCGCGAGCGTCGCGAGCGCGAGGAGGCCGAGAGACAGGAGCGCCTCGAGTTGAAACGAATAAAATTGGCAATCCTACAGTGTTCGCAGGCGCCTAGCGTAGCTTCTCCGACGCTTCAGGTCAGCGGTTTTAGAATTCGGGACCAACTGCCACCGTTCGTAGTAGGCGAGGACATGGCGAAGTATCTCGTCAAGTTTGAACACGTCTGTGAGCGAAACGCTTTGGAGCAGTCTCTTTGGGCGCGGAACCTGTTAGCTCTTCTTCCCGGCGAAGTGTCCGACGCGATAACTTGCTTGTCGAGGGAAGCGTTTGAGAGCTGTGACGAGGTTAAGGAAGTGCTCTTGAGACGTTATAAGTTGTCACCCGAGGCTTTCAGGCAAAGGTTCCGGTATGCTAAAAAGGGGAATAAGTCACACGTTGACTTCGCATTTTGTCTTAAAGCCGATTTAATTGAATGGCTCAAGGGCGAAGGCGTTTATGACGACCGCGATAAAGTGGTGGAATGCGTTGCATTGGAGCAATTCTACCGCTGCATCGAGGAGGATGTCAAACTTTGACTGCAGGACAAAATTGGTGAAGTACAGCTAAACAAGGCAGCAGAGTTAGCTGAGGAGTATTATACTCGCCAAAAGTTGCATAGCAGGGCAGTGCGCGTCGAAAAGGATGAAAGGAAAGAGGGCTTTTCGAAGAAACCTGATCAACGGAAACCCGCTCCGCACCGTAATTTCAAGGACCCGTCTCTTACGAATGACACTGTAGGGGAAGGGCAAACGGAAGCGGAGAAATCGAGTGGGGTTTCTATCACACGGGCGTTTGAATCACGGAAGCCGCTAATCTGCTACAACTGCAAAAAGGAAGGACACATCGCGATAAACTGTCAGGAAAAGTTTGCTTTCGCAACAATCCGAGAATCAGAAAAGAACATGCGGTTGTTGGAGCCGTATATCCAGGAAATTAATGTGAATGGGACAACGTGTCAAGTACTTCGTGACTCAGCGGCAACCATGGACGTTGTCCATCCTTCATTGGTGTCTCCGGATAACTTTACAGGAGAATGCGAGCGGATCAGGCAAGTCGCCGAGGAGCAGAGTGCTTGCTTACCAATCGCCACGGTTGTCATTGAAGGCCCGTTCGGTAAGCTTCGCACCGAAGCGGCTGTGTCTGCCGCGCTTCCCGATCGTTTTCCTTATCTTTTCTCCAACAACTCAGAGCAGCTTCTGAAAGAGCAGGGTAAATCGTTCTTCCCCAACTTAGCGTACATGGCCCTCACGCGATCGCAAGCGCGGAAGCTTTCGCGGGAGCTTGATCTTGTTCTTTGTGGAAAAACAAGTTCAAAAGCAGCAGATCTGTGTGACCTTGGTGGCGAGTTGACAGAACCTCAGACACAAGATTCTCCGTGTGTGTCATGTGAGCAGTCACGCGAGCGGCCCGTCGCCGAAGCGACCGGCGCAGTTTCCGTAGAAAGGGGAGACGACATGGCGCCATTGAGTCAGAGCGAGAGGGTTGCAACGCTCTCGCCTGTAGCGGAAAGTTGGAGCGAGCTGTCGAGGGATGATCGAGAGAGGCCCATTCAAGAGCAGCGCGAGGGCCTCTCGATTAAAGCGCCTGTGGAAAGCCACATGAAAGCTGCACAAGTGTTGTCGAAAGAGTACAACTACAAATCTGTGAAGAAGCGCGCTTTTGAAGTAGGAAGTCAGGTAATGCTGCTGCAGCCGTTCAAAAGGAACAAGCTTGAGGTTGATTGGGAAGGGCCTGCCAATGTAATATCGAAGCTCCCGGATACGAATTATGAAGTGAAATTAGGAAGGCGGCCGAACAAAATTTACCACAGTAACTCGAAAGCAGTCGTAAATCTGCATTTGAATGCTTCAGAGGAAGAGGGAGCAGAAATTTGGAGTTTTAGTGATGTAAACGAAAGGGGGTCGGAGGTAATTTTGGAGCAGTTGAACCTAGAGCCTAGGTTAAGTGAAGTCCAAAAGGAGGACCTGAGAAAGATAGTTTCCAAGATTGGAGACGTGTGTTCGGACCGTCCCGGAGACACGACGGTGATCGAACACGATATAGAGCTAACTTGTGAGGAGCCGATCTCTAGCAAACCGTATCGTTGTTCCCCTCTGCAACGTCGCAAGTATGAGCCGCTCTTGGTACTGCATAGGTATCGTCGCCTAAAAGTGACCGGTTATTGAGATGGAGCGTGATACTCCGACAGCGCAACTTTGACGTTCGCTAAAAAAAAAAAAGGGAAAGCTAAACGCTAATGCAGGTGCATTGAGCAGTGCGTTCTAGCTAGTACCTTCTCAACCTTTCGGTTTCACTCTGGCGATTCGGGGCAAAATTTTGACCTCATCACGACCTAGGCTGAGCGCTCTCGTTCAGAGTGATCTCAAGGGGCCAACTTTATGTTGTATTCTAATTCGTTACGTTGTTGTACGTGGGAAAAAATATTGAGTTGTCATTTTAAGAGTCTTGCGTCCCACATGTGCCTCTTAATGTAGAGGGTAGGAAATTCCGATAGACACGTAGATAGGTATATGTTGTACTATACTTTGTCTGGTGTTCTGTCGGGTGACCGAGGGCACTTGCTAGTATCGAGTGTTGGCTGTTGTCGAACCGTTCTTGGCAAGTTGCAGAACTATCGACAAGTGCTGAAACCAAGAATCGTCAGAGACGAGCGAAGCTGGCCGGCAAGTTGTGGCGACAAGCAAGTGGAGCTTGGATCCGTCCTCAAGAATGGGATGTGTTCCCGGAACAGAGTCTGGAGCTGCATTCTCCCCATGGCCCTGGAGGCGAACCTGGAGGGACCTGGCGAACGAGCGCGCCTGTCATCCGATCCACGTGGAAGCAGCTCGTCTTTCCGGCGCATTGTCTGGCGGCGGGGGTGCTGTTATGCCTGCGAGTCGACAACGAACGTCTGTGCCTCTGAAAAAGGCAATCTGTGTCAAGGCCAGCCCGCATCGCCTGCCTGACGCAATCAACAACTCAACGGCGCCTTTCTGGCGTGCACGTGCAGTGAGTCATCTTTGCAAGCGAGCCCGTCGAGTAAACAACTGGCGCCTTCCTGTCTGGCGGGTCTGACGCAATGCCTTGCGACGTCACTCGTCCTTGGGTGCAGCCACCTGCAGCGCAGCCTCTCCAGATTTGAAGAGAAAGAAGGACGCGGCCCAGCGGCGACCTCATTGGAGGATTCTGACCTCGCGACCAGCGGCGCTTCGGGTTGGACGTTTGGGTTGGACCCGGGGCATATAAAAGAAGCCCTGCGGCGCGTCGAGAGACCCCTTTTTACAGCGGACCCATTTAAGAGCAGACCTATGTGTTAGAGAGGAGAGTTCGGCTCTTCGAGTGCCCCAGTGCCGAATTTGTAACGCCTCTGTATATATGCTGTACATAAACCTTGTTTAACTCACCGTCGTCTCGTCCGCTCGTCTATCAGCTTTGCGCAGAAGCAGTCGCGAGCTGAAAAACCTACGCTACCAAATGGCTGGTGACCTTTCCGGCGGAGTTCGAAGCAGTGGCGCCTTCGGGACCGTGTTGGCGTCGCCGTCTTTCGAAACAGTGGTTGCAGCGGTGAGATTCGAGGCGCCCTTCGTAACGTCGTCGGAGGCGCGCGTCGCAACAGTATGCTAGTATATGCAGTCATACATTCATTAATTCGGCGAAATTTGCCTGTGCACGGGATCAGTCATTGATATGACAGTGACAGCCTCCCCACAAAATTGAAGTAAGGATGGCATTATAGTGCCATCATAATGAAACCAAAACATAGGAGGGAGGGAGTTGCCATGGAATGGTCACGGTCATGAGTAAATCTTTTTTATTGAACAAATAAATAACTGACACAGTATTTTAAAGAACAGTGGTATGATGCTTTGACTTGGTACTGGGCTAGCAGAGCATATAGCTCATTTGGCTGTTTCTTTTTTTTCATCTGGACATGCGAACTAGTGTGGTGGAAGGAGAAAATTAGCAGGGTTGCTTTTATCTCGTACTGACTATCTGCTGCTTATTTGGCAACAGCTATGTGGGAGCGTGGTGACTTCTAAAATGTGGTGCTCAGCTTTACCGGTTTGATTTGGTTTATGCTACAAATACTAATATTTTTGTAATCATATGGCTCATTTCACAGCACATTTTTGACAACCAGCCAATTTTTTATTTGTTCACTTCTTGAAATTTAAATTGATTGTTGTCTGTGAAATATATTTTTTAAAAATATTAATATTTATGAGATGCTGTGACAATGCTTTTAACTTCAACTGGTGTATGGCAAATTTTGTATCTGCTCCTAAAATACCCATTGCTCTAAACTAACATTTTTTTCGCTGTACTGTTTCTGCTCTTAAGTATGCTCCAAAAATTAAAAAGTCACTTCTAGCACTGCTACAGTGATGTCCTTGCGTTTTGCCAGGTACTGGCTGACAATGATGTGTGGGGTTTAACGTCCCAAAACCACTATATGATTATGAGAGATGTCGTAGTGGAGGGCTCCAGAAATTTCGACCACCCGGGCCTCTTTAATGTTCACACAAGTCAGAGCACACAGGCCTACAGCACTTTCGCCTCCATCGAAAATGCAGGTCAGCAGCCGAGTACCTTAGCGTGGCAAGGCAAGACCACCGTGGCAAAACATACTGGCTTAAAAGGCTGATGGTCCAAATTGCTCTCTACAGATCGCCGTGCGAAGTTTTACAATAAGTTTTTGCTTGATTAATTGGTCGATCGAGTCTTTGTGCACTAGCTAGGATCAGAACCTGCATGTTGCTCATCGCAGGGAGTGACGTTCCCTGCGATGCATGCCATGATAGCTCGGTGGTTGCCGAAGGACGAACGCAGCCTGTTGTCGACGATCATCTACTCGGGTGGCCAGATTGGCACTGTGGTGGCCATGCCGATATCTGGTCTGCTGTGTGACTCAACGTTCCTTGGAGGCTGGCCTGCTGCTTTCTACGTTTTGGTGGGTGAACGTTAATGCTTCACTTTCATCTTGCCCTTGCCAATTTTCTGATTGTGTTGCTCTCACCTTTCAACATTTGTTGACCATTATGCTGTTTGAGCTTGTACTGAAATCAACAAGAGAAAAAAAAAGAGGTTGAGGTTGTTGGGGGTGCTCCGTAAGTCCTTTATGCTCTAGAAATTTGCTCTTGCCAGTAATGCAATGGCTTGTGTATTGGGGTCTGCAGGCTTTTTGGTGTTGGCAAGATCACATTGGTATATTTGGAGTGCACTTATACTACTGCAGTGTGTGAGCAGGTCATCTAGACAATAACAAGGCGCACGAAAGCGTCACTAATTAAATAGGAGTATCGCATTTAGTTCGCACCTTTATGAATTGCAAGCCAACTAGCCTGAATGGAGACTTGGTAAGCCAGAAAAAGAATGGAGAGCAGGAAGATGTATGACAGTTCTGTCTTAATGTTACTTGAGTTTAAAAAAAAGGCACCTTGGTCACAATACGCAACGTGCATGCATAGACAACCTGAGTAATTAAAAACAAAAGGGATGCAAGTTTGAATTACTTGTTCTCAAATACAGCAAGGTCAACTAAAAAATCAAATCAAATTACTTTTTATTTCCCAGCATGTTTTTTTTTCTCTACATGTTGGGGGTCTCTCAATTAGCAAAAAGTATGTTAATGAGTTACCGCACAATGCCAATTATAAGTCGACGTTTTTCTCGTAAATGGCCTTCCAAAATTCAGGCGTCGACCTACCAGGTCTGTTAGAAAAGTATCCGACCCCCCCCCCCCCCTTTTTTTTTTCAGAGCACTTGATAGATTTGAAACAAGCGCGTATGCATCAGCCGACCTTGAACCTTCGTGCGCATTCAAGAATTTTTTCCCGCCTGCCAATAGCGTCAGTCTCTGGGACGCAGCGTTTGAGTGAGGTAGTGTGCAGTGCTCTCACTGGTTTTTCATTGCAAGGAAAATGACTGAGTGACTGGAGCAGCGCTACTGCATCAAATTTTCAACTGGGCGAGAGCCAAGTGAAAATAATTGGGAAGATCAAGATGGCTTTCAGTGATGATGCTAAGAACTGCACGCAGATTAAGGAGTGGTACACCCGGTTTAAAGACAGCCGCATGTCGGTGGAGAGCGAGCCACGCTCCGGTCAGCCATCAACATACCGAAATGACCATATCATTGCCGAAGTGAATGCCGTGGTAATGCGAGACGATAGTGTGATCATCTGGGAAATTGCGGAAGAGGTGGGCATCAGCACTTTCTCTGCACATTTCATTATGACCAAAGATCTGGTCATGAAGATAGCTGTGGCGAAATTCATGCCGTAACAGCTCACGATGGAGGAAAAGCAACTTTGTGTTGAAGTCTCACAGGACATGCTGAATTTCACAAGCTGTGACCCTAACTTTATGAACACCATTATCACTGGTGATGAGTCTTGGGTGTACGGGTACAACCCAGAAACCGATTCCCAGTCATCACAGTGGAAGCATTCCACGTCACAAAGACAAAAGAAGGCCCGTCAAGTGGGCATCAACATCAAATTGATGCTGAGTGCTTTCTTTGACTCCCACGGTGTGGTACACCACGAGTACGCACCACAAAGTCAAACAATCACCAAAGAGTACTACAGCAATGGCCTCCGTTGCCTACGTGATGCTGTGCGGCGCAAGAGACCCAAGTTGTGGCCAACAGAAAAACTGGCGCATTCATCACAACGCTCCTGCATATTCCTCACACCTGGTTCAGACTTTTTTGGCGTAGAGTCGGACACCTGTAGTTTCACAGGCTTCTTACTCTCCTGTTTCACAGGCTCCTTACTCTCCTGACATGGCCCCCTGAGACTTCTCGCCATTTCCGAAACTCAAGAACAAATTGAAAGGAAAGCGATTTCAGACAAGAGAGGACATTATGGCTGCAATTACAGCTGAGCTAAACTCTATTTCGAAAGAGGCCTTCTCAGAATGCTCCCAACAATGGGAGAAGTGCATGGAGTCTCGCAAGGCGACTACTTTGAGAAAGATTATGTTTCCAACGCTCCTATTATGCCAGTTTTTTTTCGGTCCACCAGAGGTTGGATACTTTTTTAAGAGACCTTGTATATTCTCTGTTTGCAGGGGATTTGTTATCATCAATTTGTGATAGCGGTTTTACAGATGAGCATGTACGTATTAGAAGAAATACTAAGGAATGCATCAAAGGAATTTGCGATATAAAAATTTAGGAATCCAGGGGCAACAGTAGTCGTGTCAGTTTATTTGTCCATGTATGTGATAATACGTACCGTACTTGCTACACAAGCTGGTAGCCCCTCCTTATCAAGGTTATCACAGCATCGCTGTGTAGGAAGTTGCTTTGAGTGTCGCGATAAAGTTCCAATGTCCGATACAGTGCACTCGCACTTTCAAAAGCTGTTGATTCAATTGTTATGCGGAAGGAGCTGGCTAAGTGAGTGCACTTTGTGTAGGAGTGGAAACATGACAAGACTGATAGCACAGGGAAAGAGGCACAAAGGGATACGAGCGTTTCAACGTACAATACAGTGCACTGCCTCCCTTTAATACATACTTTTTCCCAGTTGTGATGTTGCTGATGTCCAACTCGTAGGATCCTAACAGCTAGCTCAACACATTTAAGCATTCTCATTATTACATCAGAATGCACATTATACTTTACGCTTATAGCATGAAAATAATGGTAAGATACTACATTCAGGCAAATATAGTAGAAAAATACTTTTTTGATGAAACTTCCAACATCATTAAACCACTTTTTAAACAGGATGCATGATCAGAGGTTCACATTCGTGATCATTGGGCACTCGCATCAAGATGAGCGTTCTTTAAAGGGGCACTCGAAAGTAAACAAAGTTCAGAAAATTTGGTTTCATGGTGCCAAAAAATACCAGTGGAATAGTTGGCTTTCGACTGCATGTGTACAGCAATACAACACTTTACTTTGTCTTCATTGAAAATTATAAAATTTATTGGTAAAGCATTTTAAAGCAGAAACATAACCATCATACACATAAGTAAAAAAGAATGTAAAATGCCAAACAAATCAATAGTGGCTTTCAGTATTTAGGCTTGTACGTGGTATTGCTTCATCTTTTACTTCGATAAGTGCGCTGTAAATTAGACGATGGTGAACATTTCAATTGTTTCCACAGTTGTTTTTCTGTAAAATAGAGTATGAAATAAAACTCGGAAAATTATCTCCAGTAACCGTACGTGGAATGATTGATTGATCGATAGAGATTTTTGGCACAAGGGCCAATTGTGGCCAGGGAGCACTAAACACATCGTACAATTTGACTGTGATGTACGTAGTGTGGTTTTAACATGGCTGTAGAGAGGCCTAAAAACAGACTGTCACTGTATAAATTTGTGTAAAATATGAATGTAATATGTGCATTTGGATGACAAGTGGCATGCCCGCACACATAAAACACCTGTAGAGCACTGTGGAAGTGTCGAGGTAGTGTTCTTTAGCAAGCTGTTGTGATCTTGCCTCTTGTCCTGAATGTGCGACTTATTCTTTATGTTTCAGGCCTGATTGGTGTGGTGTGGTTTGTGTTCTGGGCCCTCCTTGCGTACAACAGCCCACAAGAGCACCCCCGCATCAGCGACGAAGAGCGCATCTACATTGAAACCAACCAGGGTGAAGAACAGACACGGGAGGTATGATCGCAGGAAGTTTCATTTGCGATTCAACCATGAGACTGATTGATGTACTGTTCAGTAGCATTTACACCAGCAACTGACCAGTTCAGACTGGCAACCAAGGCGCAACTCACGGTGACCAATGTCCTGTGATTATGACCATAATGTGTTCTTTGTAACGCTGGCAGTCACTTATGCTTATATTTTTCATTGCTAGCCTGGCTTTGAGCCAGATAGCAAAGATATAAATCTAGGGCTCGCTGATTGACATTGTTTTGATGGTCACAGCAGCGTGTGATGCCCATAAGCATATATCTGTACAGCCCACTTCAAGAACAAAAGTTGTTATAGATGCGAAGCAGCTTATGGTCAAGCCTGCTTTCTCCCTGTGCCGTCCATACCCCCACACTGTGCATGCGCAACCGCTGGCCCAGACTTCCGGAGGAGACTGCTACAGGCGCCACGGCAGCTCCACAAAATGAAAATGACCCGCACGCGCTATGCTTATTCTCCTCCCGACAAAGCTACCGTCAACGCCACGATGAGCGCCACTGGCAGCAATGCTGCTGTTGCTGCTCGAAGAAGAGGGCTTCAGCTGCTGCCACTATAAAGCAGCGGCAGCGAGTCGACCCCGAATTCGGAGTGGGAGAAGCAGAAGCGCGCTCTAAATTTTGCCTGCAAGAATCCACTGAAGCGACGAGGGCGTGCACAGTCGAAGCGCAAGGACAACGCCGGCAAGCAAACATCATATTGCCTCACCAATGCGAACGCCGAGCAGCGAATCCCGAAGCAGCGTGGCATTGAGAGTTGGCGGCAAAGGCAGCAAAACGCTTGAAGCAAATGCTGCCACCCGGCATGGATGTCATGGACACGCAGTTCAAGCGCGAGTTCCCGGACCAGAGCTTCGGGTGCAGCTGCAAGGTTTGTGACTGCTTGTGGTTCAATAACAATTCGACCAAGATTGCCAGCATCAAGAGCGAGAAGTGCTGCGCCAATGCCTCTGCCGTGCTACAGCGAGAGTTTGCCACCGCCGATAACGGCAACTCTTTACGAAACTACAAGTTAACTCATAAGCTGCTTCACATGCTACTGATGAGTCCCTTTGCGAAGAGATGTGTTTTTATGTGTGTGTTTTTTATTTCTTAATAATCACTTGCTTGCTGATGCCACATTATTAGCTTCAATGATGCGGCTTGATGTGGCCCTATTTCGTTAACATCATTCAAAACTGATGTGGTACTCTTAATGATGTCACTGACTGCTTTTGAAATTTATCATTATATGTTTCGATATATGAAAGACATTTTTATTTTTTGGAATTTCGTTTAATACACTCAGAAAAAAGAATGAAGTGTAGCTGTTTTTAAATTGCTAGTAATACTTTTCACTCACATGGTGACTCGTTCTGGTAACTTTCAGAAGTTGCCCATTCCGTGGCGGGCAGTGCTGACTTCAGTGCCTTTCTGGGCTCTGATGCTGACTCACTTTGGCCAAAACTGGGGCTTCTACACGCTTCTCACAGAGATGCCCAGTTATCTCAAGAACATCCTGCACTTTGACATCAGAAAGGTGTGTATGCAACCTTAGACCTTGCACAAGCTCGATAAATCGATCAGCTATACATGGTGTTGTTATTAAGAAGCACACTGTTTTCCATCAATATTTCACTGAAGTTCGATATGATATTTCACACAGCTATTCACAGAAATTTTCAGAATGCAGAAACTTGAAATACAGTGTGGGCAGGTAAGGGAGAAAATTAGTTACAGTATGTACTCATGTGAAAGTCGGAGATCTTTTTAGCAATCTCGGTGAGCTGTGGTCCGTACTTACGCAGGTTCACACAATGTGATTGATTTTTTTTTTTTAACTAGGGGTGTGAAATGCACTGCAATCCACATTATTCACAGCCAGAATGAAATTGGGAGGGACCCCGGCCTTGTCACTAGATTTTAGGGGCGTGCGAATATTCGACATTTGGAATATTTTTTTATAGTGTTTGCTATTTGACTTGATTCAGAATTTTACTAATTGAACTATTCGAACTTCCCAAAAACTGATCAGTCAGCCTCTGACTGACCGTGACCCTGGCCCCTTCAGATTTTCAATATGCTTCACCCTATAACTTCGTTGTGCGGCAGCGGAGCTGCTACGGTCTCAAGTGTATTGACTCAAGAAAACGCTGGATGGAGATATTAGATGTGGCAGAGAGAGAGTGGGGGGGGGGGGGGGGGGGCTTAATTTATGCCATTTTAGACATGAAATTTGGGCTGTAAGTTCGAAAAATCGGATGCCACAGATTTCTAGCACCCAAAATTTAACGTGTTCTCATAAATAAAAGTTTATGAGGCAGATTTGGAACTCGGGGCCCGAATAGAGCACATCCTTGTTCGATACATCAGTTGGGCATCTGCAAAAGTGGAAATAGGAGGAGGAGAGACTGAGGAAATGGCTTCTTTGCCTCTCATTGGTAAAGTGTTGTCAGCTACACTTTGGTTGCACCAAATCATGTACTACTACATAATTACAGTTTTGTTTTGACAAAAGAAACATTCATGTTCCTATCTCAAAGGGATATGCTTAGGAATCCTCTCTAACTATTTCTCAAATCTCGCTTTGAAGTATTCTAATAATTTTAGAAATGTTCAACAAATATTTTGTTCAATTTGCACTCACACTTTAATTTTTGAATTTGCTTCTCACCAAAAATTTTGCTATCTGCACAGCCCTACTTTATTTATTTATTTGTTTATTTATTTATAGGACTTTCAGGGTGCACTTGTATATTGTAAAGGGGAAGGGTAGAAATATATCTATGGTAACTGAATCTTCGGCATTCCTTCCAGCTTTCGTTAGCACATTTCACTGTATGTATTTTGTATCCACAAACTAAATTAGGTTCATCAGATACCGTGCCCTAACTTTTCATCCTTTGTTAATGATATATGCCTTCGAATGAGCTCTTTAGATACACGATTTACCTCTGGCGGAAACACCCATCTCGGGGAATTTCAGTGTGTTCTCTGCATTACCAGTAAAATGATGTGAAGAGCACACTCCGCTTCCTCTCGTCACGATGCATGCGCTTGTCTATAACATGTACGGTCCTTTGCCCTGCGGTGCGTAGTTCGCCCTATATGGTGTAGTGCCCTACAGGACCCATGCGTGCCTGTGCCTATCTCAGGATGGGGGCAGTTGTGCTTGCATTAGAAAGATTGTGTTGAAGTTATAGAGCCCATGAAGCTCACTACGCTCGCATGGACAAGGCAAATGGAGGGGGAAACTAGTGTTACCAGACAACTCTGGTGGCTTGTATAGCCTGTTTCACCAATTGCTGACGATGAAACCACCAGCGCCCTGCCGCTCTATGCTGAAGCAAATGTGGCCGATATAGCGGGGATATCCTCCATCGTGGGGGGTAGTTTGTGCTGTCTGTTAAAAGGTTCCAGTTACTTCCAAGGATGTGCAGGGAGGTTGAGCCTACTCACTAGTTTGTGATGGCGTTGTTGCATGATCCGCATTCCTCGCCTCTCCCCAGAGAATTTATCCCCTGTGTGAATATCGCTTAATGCTTGAAGTGAGTTCCGAAAAGCTACAACGCTAAGGGATGGTGTGTTTTGTTTCAGAATGGGTACCTCTCGGCACTGCCCTACCTGCTTGGGACGTTCTCTAGCTGGGGAGCCGGATACCTGGCCGACCATGTGCGCCGAAAAGATCTATTCACGACCAGCATCATTAGAAAGTTCTTCAATTCTGTTTGTAAGTGTGTCATTGGCAAGCTAACCTCGAAGTATGCATTCCCCTATAGTTTGCGGCCTAAGCCTGAGTTCCACTTAACAGTCTGTTACTATGGTTGCATCTACCTTGATGTAACTTTTGTGCCCTTACTTCATGTCCGGTGATTGCGAATCTACTTCACAACGAATATCAGGGATGATCTTTCGGTAAGTTTCCGAGAAGAAAAAAGAAATTACAGAATCATCAGTATAATGTGAAACTCAAGTCTTTAGTCTATTATAGGACAGAAATTTAAGTTGGGTTAGTTGGTATTGTAGAGAGGAAGAAGATTATGTGCGGCAGTGGCTCACGCCTTTAGCGAGAGGATCCAAGCGCGAGTGTTTGCCCCGAATGCTGTGATTCCCGAGTCTGTTGCTGCCGCCCGCTTTCCGCATCAATAGACCTGCTGTGCAAGTACTACTTGTGCCAATAAACCCCGTTTGTCAAAGCAGGATGAATAAGTGTGGACAAGGAAGTCATGAACACACCGGACAAGCACTGTCTCGCAGCTGTAAATTTATTTCACAAGAACATCTCAGAAAACGACGCAAGACAATGTAGGCGTGTGCAAGAGAAAGAGGTAATCTAGTCTGCAATGTAATCATCACTTCACGGATCACACGCCAAGCAAAAAAACCAAACTGTCTCTCAGTGACAGTGGTGCCTGACTAAACATGCATTTGCCGTTATTTTGACATGGAAAGCTTCAATGGCCTCTCGAGTAGACTTGAATATACATGTTAACAGGACCGTTGTATCTAGAAACACGGCAGAACAACCACATGCACAAGCCACAGTGCAGCACAAGATGTGAAGCATCCAGTTTTTTCGGCAACTGATTGGGCTCCTTTAAATGCACATCGAGACATGTGCTTCCTTTCCCACATACGAATTCTCACAAATAAGAAAGGACAGGTTTACAACACCGCACCCACAAGGTACATGTGTAGAGTTTTCATAGTTGGTACCGCAGCCTTGACTCGTAGTGCTATCTTGCTCAAGTTTTTTTTTCTAATGAGAGGGTTGATTCTAGAAAATTGATTCAAAGTGTGGAATACCATCTCAACTCCGTACCTATCGCCTACATTACTCAAGCCATGGGACAGTTAATGTACATAAGGGAGCACTTTTTTTCTTGCATCTTTGCTTATTGTCACAGATTTTAAAACAATGTTGACTCTCTACCCACGTCCATAATCTCTCACTGCAACTAGATATTAGCATGGTGTCCCCGTAGTCTTCATGTTGAAGCCTCTGAACTTGTGGTAAGAAACTAGGCTCAGTGCCATGTTCAAATGGCTTCATCAGACTTGGTGTTCTCTACCAGATCCCTCTTTTTTGTGGTAACTGTTGCCCAGGGCGAACAGATGTCATTGTTGCATGTTTAAAGCAGCATAATCAGTCACTAACAAAATCAGGTGCTTCCCACCTCTTGTTGCGCTGCAGCATGTGTGGTTATTCTCCTGTGTTTGTAGATACGAAGGTCCCATCAGCACACAGATGCAAGTTTACTCGAGAGGTGATTGAAGCTTTCCATATCAGAAGAATGAGACACGCTTGCATCAGTTAGGCATCTTTGTCGCTGAAAAGAGTGCTTTTCTGCATCGCATGTGTTCTGTGAAGTGATGTTGACATTATGGACTAGGTAGCCCTTTTTTTTTGCACACTTTATTGTCCGACTTCGATTTCCAGGACATTTTTTCTAAAATGAATTTTTCAGTTGAGAGTCAGTGCTTTGTGTGCGTGCCTTCCCTGTCTACGTATATTTGTGCTGCTTCGACGATGTGTTAGTTTACACTCGCACTTGCTCCAGACAACTATAGCTAACACTCATACGGCAAGAATTGTGGTCAGTCATGCTTTTAGTCAATTTAGTCAGACTGTTATGTAACGTTCTCAGCTACAGCACCTGACGAACTTTTCCAGAGAGTAATCATTTACCTGTTGATTATTCAGGCCTAGTCTTGACAGTGAACTGATCTATAATTGCAGTTGAGGTTCTAATTTCTGTTCCGAAAATATTCAGGATCTGAACTTCTTCAGCATTGCTAAAAAGCAATGCATAGTAATGGCAACAATTTCGTGGTGCAGATCATTGTCACCAGTGCTATGCAGACAAGTCTGCCTGCTCACGACAATCCCTAGAAAAAAAAAATGAAGTAAGAGAATTGCACTGTGTGAAAAAATAAGCACATTGAGCTACCAAACAATGTTTAGTACATTCAATCAAATTTTAGTATCGTTACGATAGCAATTATATGGACACTTTCAGCTGACTTTTTCCCGTCGTCATCATGTCTTGGATATGCATAAGCATGCATATATCTATAAGAGGCACAAAGAAAAATAAACCATAAGAACAAATTCTAAGGCACCCACCGGAGATTCGAACCAGTGACCCCTTGCTCTTCAGCGCGCTGCATTAACCAAGTATACCACGCTGCTCATGCCATCTATCACATTAACGGTGAGCTATGTACATACACAATTTGCCACTGGCTATTGTCAGTGGACTTGAAAGAAAGATTCATGAACAAGCCATAGATGCTTTCCATAAACATTGACGTGTCCAATGGCTTGATCAATGGAGGGGTTGGTTCACTTAAGCACATACAGTTGGATGAAAGGGGCATTCCAAAATGTCTCTGGCTCCACTTTCACCTTAAAGCAAACGGAAGAATTGCTCACATCAAGTTCAGTGCCTGTGAACTCGGTTGCTGCTGAAATGCACACCGCCGCTATTGCTTTAGATGGCCGATCTAAACTCGCGGCCCCAGATGAGTTTTGCTGATTCTTGCGCCAGCGAACATGGCTTCGTCATCGCAACAGTGTACATTTCACTACAAACCTTGCGGACTGACGTCTTGAATTTTGTGCTGCACAACTTCTGTGCGGCGGGCCTAAAGGATTTGCTGATCATAGTCCCCGGAGACTTTAAGGTTATGTACTTCGACGTGAAAACCCGTCACTTGCTTCTCGACGCCGAACTTGGACTTCGCCTCCTGTCAGACGTCATTCAGTCGGGTATTCACAACAACTGTTTACATACTGTGGTCAATGCATTACTGTCAATTCAAGCAGAATCAATCATGTTCACTACATTTCGTATGGTTCCTAAATCTCCTAGCCTTACTTCGTAGAACAGTCCGATGTGGGGCAATCGCATTCATTGCTTTGGCCTTGTGTTGAAACTGTGAATTTTTTTTTTCAACTTTAGCTATAGTATTTTTCATATACTAAGATTATAATGTCTGCGTTCGTACACTATGGTGGCTACGATAGACAAGTACAGGCCAGTTGGAATTGTGCATTCATTTGTGCAGTTGTGCCACAATACGCCATTCAGCAGCAGCCAGACAATGTTCCAGGAACAGATAAGCTGTTCACATCTTTTAGTGTGTTAGTTTGACTGCTTATAATGTTGAGGTTCATTTCCCCCATGTGTCTTTTTGTAACGTCTTTGTGTGCAGCCTTCTTTGGAACAGCCATCTGCCTGTTTGTCGTGACTTTTGCGGGCTGCAACGGATTCCTGAACATCGTTCTCCTGACCATTGGCATGGGCATCAACGCATTCTGTTTCTCAGGTTACATGGTGACCCACGTCGACATGTCTCCAGACTTCGCAGGTATGAGGAATGGTGCTTTCACTTTTGTGGTATACAAATCTCAGCATAACGAACATTGCAGGGCTGTCACAGTTTCATTTGTTATTCTTAAATGTATCGAAAGTCCACAAATTGGTTTTAATACTTATTTAGAATTAAGTGCGACAAACCGCTTACAGTTGGAAGTGGCGAATCCAAAAATGTGTTTATGCCAGGTAAAATGATTCCTCAAAATAGAAAGGAGAAGAACAAACTTATCTGAAATCATGCTGGTATTTTTTAGATTAGAATGACAAGCTGTTGCCTGACAGTTCATCACATTTTCATTGATTAAAAATTTTTTATTATGACGTTTGTTTGTTCTATCAAGATGACATTGTGTGGTCAAATTCTCTTATAATGGAAATGAAATGCTAATGAATTTTTACTGCTGCAAACCTACGATGGTCAGTGCAGTGTTCGAAACTACCCCGTGATGAACTTTTGTCAGTTGTCAAGACCCGCCCATGCCATCTGTACTTCATTCTCATAACTGAAAAGATAATGTGGCAGTTTTTTTTAATCTTTATTTTCATCATCGTCATCATCATGACATCAGCTTGACTATGTCCACTGCAGGACAAAGGCCTCTCTCATGTTCCGTCAGTTAACCCGGTCCTGTGCTTGCTGCTGCCAATTTATACCCGCAAACTTCTTAATCTCATCTGCCCACCTAACCTTCTGTCTCCCCCTAACCCACTTGCCTTCTCTGGGAATCCAGTTAGTTACCCTTAACGACCAGCGGTTATCCTGTCTATGCGCTACATGCCCGGCCCCTGTCCATTTCTTCTTGATTTCAGCTATGATATCCTTAAGTCCCGTTTGTTCCCTAATCCACTCTCTTAAGGTTACAACTACCATTTTTCTTTCCATTGCTCACTGTGTCGTCCTCAATTTAAGCTGAATCCTCTTTGTAAGTCTCCAGGTTTCTGCTCCGTAGCCAAGTACCGGCAAGATGCAGCTGTTATATACCTTCCTCTTGAGGGATAGTGGCAATCTACCTGTCATAATTTGAGAGTGCTTGCCAAATGTGCTCCACCCCATTCTTATTCTTCTAGTTACTTAAATCTCGTGGTTCAGCTCCGCGGTTATTACCTGCCCTAAGTAGACAGTCTTTTACATTTTGAAGTGCACTATTACCTATGTCGAAGCGCTGCTCTTTTTTGAGGTTGTTGTACATTACTTTCATTTTCTGCAGATTCATTTTAAGACCCACCTTTCTGCTGTCCTTGTCTAACTCCGTAATCATGAGTTGCAATTCGTCCCCTGAGTTACTCAGCAATGCAATGTCATCTGCGAAGCGCAGGTTACTAAGGTACTCTCCATTAACTCTAATCCCTAACTGTTCCCATTCTAGGCTTCTGAAAACCTCCTGTAAGCATGCGGTAAATAGCATTGGGGAGATTGTGTCCCCCTGCCTTACACCCTTCTTGATTGGTATTCTGTTGCTTTCTTTATGAAGCACTATGGTAACAGTTGATCCCCTGTAGATTTCTTCCAGGATGTTTATATATACTTCATCAACGCCCTGATTCCACAGTGTCTGCATGACGGCTGATATTTCTACTGAATCAAACGCCTTCTCGTAATCTATGAAGGCTATGTATAGTGGTTGGTTGTATTTTGAGCATTTCTCTATTACCTTTTTGATAGTATGAATGTGGTCGATTGTTGAGTAGCCTGTTTGAAATCCTGCTTGTTCCTTTGGTTGATTGAATTCTAATGTTTTCTTTACTCTGTTAGCAATTACCTTTGTAAATAGCTTGTATACTACAGAGAGCAAGCTAATCGGCCTGTAATTCTTCAAGTCCTTGTCATCTCCTTTCTTATGTATTAAGATGATGTTAGCGTTCTTCCAAGACTTTGGTACTCTTCCCAGTCAGGAGACCTCGTAAACAGGGTGGCTAGTTTTTCTAACACAATCTGTCCTTCATGTTTCAGCAGATCTGATGTTACCTGATCCTCACCAGCAGCTTTGCCTCTTTGCATGCTATCCAAAGCTTTTCTGACTTCTTCTATCATTAGTGGAGGGGTGTCATCTGGGTTACTGCTAGTTTTTATAGTATTAAAGTCGTGGTTGTACCGGCTACTGTACAGATCTCTTTAAAACTCCTCCGCTATTTTAACTATTCTATCCATATTGGTAGTTATTTTGCCTTCTTTGTCCCTTAGTGCATACATCCGATTTTTGCCTATCCCAAGCTTCCTCTTCACTGCTCTGACGCTTCCTCCGTTTTTCAGAGCGTGTTCAATTCTCTCCATGTTATACCTTCTTCCATCGGATACCTTACGCCTATTAATCAACTTCGAAAGCTCTGCCAGTTCTATTTTGTCTGTTGTACTTGAGGCTTTCATCATTTGACGCTTCTTAATGAGATTCTTTGTTTCCTGGAAAAGCTTGCCAGTGTCCTGTCTAACTACCCTGCCCCGAACTTCCACTGCACACTCCGTAATGATACTCGTCAAATTATCATTCATTGTATCTATGCTAAGGTTGGTTTCCTCACTAAGAGCCGAGTACCTGTTCTGAAGCGAGACTCTGAATTCCTGTACTTTCCCTCTCAGTGCTAGCTCATTGATTGGCTTCTTGCGTATCTGTTTCTGTCGTTCCTTCCTCAAGTCTAGGCGAATTCGAGACCGTACCATTCTATGGTCACTGCATCGTACCTTGCCAACCACTTCCACATCCTGCACGATGCCTGGGTGTGCACTCATTATAAAGTCTATTTCGTTCTTATTTTCGCCATTAGGGCTCCTCCATGTCCACTTGGGGTTTCCACGTTTTCGGTAGAAGGTATTCAAAATCCGTAAATTATTGCGTTCTGCGAATTTTACTAGTAGCTCTCCTCTGGCGTTTTTAGTACCGATGCCATAATCTCCTACTGCCTGGTCTCCAGCCTGCTTCTTCCCTACCTTTGCATTAAAGTCTCCCATCAGTATTGTATACTGTGTTTTTACCTTACTCATTGCCGATTCCACGTCTTCATAGAAGCTTTCAACTGAAGCGTCATCTAGGCTGGATGTAGGCGCGTAAGCCTGTACCACCTTCATCTTGTATCTCTTATTCAATTTAATTACGATACCTACCACCCTTTCATTAATGCTATAGTATTCCTCTAAGTTGCCAGCTATGTTTCTGTAAATTAGGAGCCCCACTCCCAGTTCTCTTCTGTCAGCCAAGCCCCGATACCAAAGGACGTGCTCATTGTGTAGCACCGTATAGGCCTCATCTGTCCTCCTAACCTCACTGAGCCCTATTATATCCCATTTAACACCCTCTAGCTCCTCGAATAGTACAGCTAGACTTCTCTCACTAGATAAGGTTCTAGCGTTAATCGTTGCCAAGTTCAGGTTCCAATGACGGCCTGTCCGGATCCAGAGATTCTTAGCACCCTCTGCTGTGTTGCAGATCTGACCGCCGCCGTGGTCAGTTGCTTCGCAGCTGCTGGGGACTGAGGGCCGTGAGTTATTTGATGTATGCGTGTGGGAGGTAGTGGCCAAATACTGCACCAGGGTGGCCAATCCTTCTCTGGTGAGGGAGTGCATTCCCGGCGGTGGTTACCGGTGAAGCCGCACCCCAGGCCTCGTAATGCAGTTCCATGACCACACGAATTTTTTTTTTTATCCGGTTGGGAACTGCGCGGCGCCGGGATTCGAACCACGGACTTTTTGCATGCGAGGCGAATGCTCTAACCACTACGCCATCGCTGCTTCTTCTTTATTTTATTTCACATTAAAGCTTATGCTCAAGTGACTGTTGTTTTACCGTTGGTTATCATTATATCAATATGTATTGCAACCTACAGTTCAAAGATGCATACCTGTATTTACTCGCATAATCCTCGCACTCGCATAATTCTCACACCCCCCACATCGCCCAACAAAAATACGATTTTTTTTCCCTCGAGTAATTATTGCACCCCCGAAAATTGCCGCAATGTCGTCTGCTCGTTCCAGCCATTGATGATGATAGCGCGCGCCATCTCTTAAGCATCAAGCGTACTATTATTGCACGGAGATTCAATCCAATCTAAGCCAAGCCAAAGCGGCAAGTGCGCGTTGCGGCGTGTTTTATATGTTGTGTCGGTAATGTTGTCACGTTATGGAGTGATACTGAAGCTACACGGCTGCTTTCAAGTTGAAAGTGATTGATCATGCACTAAACAACGGCAACAGGGCCGCCGGTAGGCCCTTCAGAGTCGAGTTTCGTGTTGGCTACTGGTGATTGCAGATGAAGGCCACTAAGATGCGTTGGGCCTGCCGTGTGCCTAAGACAGGGATTTATGGTAAACTTTATTTCTTCAGAACGAAACTGCGGACGATTCTGTTAATTAGCCTCCAGCCCAATACTGACGTCCTACGCTTTCCTTCTGAGAACTCCTGTTGCGTGACGAATGCTACCGCTACTCCCGCAATGCTCACAAGCTTCGCGTATGGTGTTCTAATTCCCGACTATTTGCTTGCACTTTTTGTGTCTCAAATAAATGTTGCCTTGTGTTGAACCTGTGCTTTTATTGTTGAGGTAAGTTTTGATTAGTACTTCTCAAAGCTTGCTGTTAGTTTCTGGTGTGAGAATCCTGATTTGCGGCCACTGCGCTTTCTTTTTCGCTCTGTACGTTTTCGTGGAAAGTTCTCCCCGCGTAATCCTCACACTCCCCAACTTTGCATCGGTTTTCCGCCCAAAAAAGTGCGAGCATTATGCGAGTAAATACGGGTATTATTTACTTAACATTTTTTTTTTTTTTTGTGCTGGCAGGGTATGCATTATGAAATTTCAAAGCAAAGTCAGTATTTACATGTACAGGCCTTACAGTAAACTGGGCCATTCAGAGCTTCCACTGGGCCTCACAGCTTCCACTGTGTAACAAAAATTTTCATTGAGGTTTGGTGAGAGGCCTTTTTTCTAGGCTTGTGCGAATATTCGAGCAATTCGAATATTTGAACTCGCTTTGAAATTAATTTAAATTATTCTAAATTTTGAAGCATTCGAAGTGAACGAATGTATTAACTGCATGTAACTCGTAAAGGTAATTTCACTGCAGCAAGGGGGCGCCATTCCATGAATACATTTTTCCAGGGGGCATCTACGCTGTCGCGGAGCATCACTTCAAAGTTAAATTAACATATTACCCTAACATCGGTTCATTTTTGAGTTTTTGAAGCTTGTTGTACCGGCTTATATGGCTTGAGTATTGAGTCAGGCTGATGATGATGCTAATTATTAAAACGTAAGATTTTATAGATTATCGCTCGCTTTTTACGTAACGACGAATTCGGCGGCTATTCAAGGTCACTTCCACTTCTTTTGAACCAAAAAGAATGATATTTGCAAATTTCATGTTTCAATTGAAAGAATATACCATGCAGGTTAGTTAGGTTGTGATAAATATGGTCATTTTTGTTTTAATATGCGATATATACTATTCAAGTTTAATCCGAAATCATTTGGGTAAATCACCATTCGGTTTGAATTTGTTATTTGCAGCAACCTACCTTCACCTATTTCAACGTATTTGCCTTGTGTTGGGTTTTCTTCTAGCGCAGATGGCATTTGTCACGTGTTTCATCACTTTCTCCGGCAAACATCTGTAAGAGCAGCAGCTGCAAAGGCCGATTAGATATTGCAGCAATGCTAGATAGCGACACCGACTCTTCAGGCCAAGGCCCTGGACACTATCGAATCGCTGGCTGCACACATTGCTTCGCCTGCTATCTCGTACATGCACGTGCACCGTTTTATGTTCCATTGTACTGCAGAAGCGAGGTTTATCTACTCTATCTCAATAGTGAGGAGCAACATGTTATGACAAAAACGCTAAATTGTGAGAAGAGTTCTTGCAGAAAGCATGCAGGCGCACGCACAGCTCAGTTGTGTGGTACTTAACACGTACCAAATGCTAGCCCAGCATTCGATTCATATCGGCTGATTTTTGGGGGTAGACTCATTAGCTTTGTTAGCGTCTGTCACCAATGCCGTCGGCATGTTTTCTCTTCAGTGTGCAAAGTCTCCACCAAGAATGAATGTTGCTGCCCGTTATTTTTTACAGGTGGTGCATCGCGTTTACTGGCATAGAGCTAACATATTCATGTTCTAGCCAGCCGTGTGCTGCGCTCTTATTTATGCTAGACTTCTTTCATTAATTACCTCAAAACCTGCACATAACGAGTTGTCAGTTATAACAAAATAAATGAGGAATAGTCTGGTCATAGATACAGTGTTGCAAATATAAATTTATAAGGAATTTTCAGATACTATAGGGTGCTTTTTCTTGTCTCAGATGCGACATTGTTATTGTGACCTTTGAGTATACTTGCACATCTATGGGTCAGTGAAACTCATCATAATAGTGACAACGATGAATTTTTTTTTTTAGCAAGCTTGGAGTACTTGCTTGGACCAATACAGTCTATGCATTGTATGAAAGCAGTTCTAACATGCTACTGCTAGGCTACTTCGTGAATGCTAGCATAATCTTCAGTAAATGAAACACAGGATGTTAGTGCTGTCAGGGATGTCTCTCAAATATTTTATAAGTGGTGGTGTGAAAATTTAATTATCGTTGCACCTAGTAGTGTGAACACAAGTGAACTGGCACGTGCTTGCTTCGTTCTCTTTACTGTCTACTTTTGCTCCCACAACACGTGCACCAATTTTTCAAGCCATGGAACGCAGTAACTATGATGGACGAGTATGTTTTGTAACAAAAAACAGTTCTGTAATGACTAGCATGTTACGTAAAAAAAAGTTCACGCTATTATGTGTCGCATGTGCAAAATCAAATAACCCGTGACTAGTTATGCGACTAAAATTATGTAACTACTAGTCACGTGGGAAAAGTTGCATAAGATATCACGTCTTTTTGTGTGATTTCATAATAACTAGTCATGTGACTCAAGATCAAGAAAAATTACACAGAATTATGAAACAAGAACAGCGCACGCTAATTACAGGGCTCAGACGCTCAAACTAAATTGGCCCTCTGTGTGAAACCTTTTACTGCAAAATATTTTTTTTTGCGATAGTGTGAAAAAGCTCATCTGGTTGCCTAAATAAAGTCACGTAACATCACATAACAGCTAGTCATGTCACATGTTTACATCATAAACGGTGTGACTCAAAATCACGTTGAATCATGTAACATTAAATCACGTGACGTGCTCCCGCCAAAATCACGTAACATCTAGCCACGTGAGTGAAACCGCATAAGTAGTCAGGTGACTAAAAATGTAACGGATAGTTATCATGTGACAGCTAGTTATGTGACTAAAACCACGTGACAACTGGTCATGTGACATATTCCCACCAAAACCATGGGACGTGTGGGTAACTGACCGAAACTGGAGAAGGATAGTTAAGCTTAACCATACTGAGTACAATCAGCTAAGGCTTAGCATCTCTAGCAAAAGTTTAGCATCACTAGCAAAAACTTCTAAAAGGCCATGCCGAACACTAGCTCCGCTGTTGGTTTCAGTGTTGCAACTCTATTGCAAGCTGCGCTTTTTTTTTTCCTAATGCTAAAGCAGGTCCGCACGACAAGGCCACCAGTTCCAGCAACCTGTTTAGAAAGGAATTCATGTTGCCATTGTCCGATGGTCACATCATGTTTTTCTCGGCTCATCAGTGGCGCATCTTTGGTATTTGGCTATCTTGAGACAGTTCACCCTGTTACACTGACAATATACAAAAACATTTGTGAACTCTCACACATTCTGAGAGGATTCTTACTCGGTATTTTGTTATTGATGATGATTAACTCCACATCTGAGATCTTATGCAGACAAGCTATTATTGAAGCAAACCCAACTTTCTGCAGTCCATCTATAACAGACTACCTCACTTGGAACTTTGGCCAGACCCTACCACAAGTGTCGCCATCCATATATCATCAAAGCTTTTGGCATATGGCGATATTTGTGTCTTTAGATTAGGTGTGTATTTGTACCTACTGTTTCGTGTTACCATGCCTCGAGCGTACAGTTGTGTTTTCTGGTGGTACTGGCATGTAGCGATTGCTTTGCTACTGTAGTGCATTCTGACAATGTCCACTCGCAGGTACCTTAATGGGGATGACGAATGCCTTCGCCAACCTGGCTGGATTTCTGGCACCTCTCGCTGTCGGGAGCTTGACAAACAGCAATGTAAGTCTGTCCTTCAATGCTATCAGTGGTGTACCTTTTAGCACTACCTCACTCCAAAAGGTGTCAAATCAAGTAAAGTATTTTGGAACGAGAATGACACAGAAAAAGATATGACTTTATATGGAGATACTCCATGTTTTCTTGGAAATAATTTAGGTCCAATAAGTCTAACGAATGGCTGAAATATGGATTGAAGATATACTATGTGAGTAGCATTAATTTGCAATGCCGTTATCTCGTGCATGATCTCTGCAGGAGACAATCGCACAGTGGAGCATTGTGTTCTACATCGCTGCCGGCGTGTACGTCGTCACAGGCCTCATCTTCGTTCTCTGCGGCTCTGCCGAGCTTCAGCCCTGGGGATTGTACGCCCAAACCTGCGGTGGCAACTTCGCGGGGCCCCTGGGAACTCTGGGAACGGGGAACCTGTCGGCCGACACCCCTTACCAGGCGACGCATGATGATGGCACGCCCGAGAGTCCCAAGTCTGACGATGCTTTCCCTACGGAAGCTTATTGATGTGCTAGTTCACTGGGTGTGCAATGATTGCATTCACCTCCTGCTCACCATAACTTGGCAAATGGGAAAGGCTGCAACCCTGAACCTGATTTCAGGGGTAGCTCATGGCTACGGCGTTGCACTGCCGAGCTCAAGCGTGCGGATTCAACTCCCAGCCATGGTGGCCGCATTTCGATGCAGGCAAAGTGCAAAAATGCTCGTGTGCTTAGATTTAGGCGAGTATTAAGAGAGTCTAGGTCGTCAAAATTAATCGAAAGTTCCCCACATTGCACCTCATAATTACGTCAGGCTATGGCATGTAATACCACAGAATGTATATAATATTTAATCCCAGAACCTTGTGATAAAGGCGCAATGTGGGCATCCAAATGGGAATGTAGCTAATCCACAATAGCACACTTAAAGACCAAGCTTGCAAGCACGGAAGGGGTCTTGCATTCAGCTGCTGTCAAGAGTGCATGCTTCTGAGAGATGCTTGGTCAAGATCACTATAGAGCCTAGCATAATATATAAAGATACCGAAATTGAGCATAAGTTTTTTTCGACTGATGAGATGACTGTTACTGTGTGGCTTGCAAGCACGAAAGGGGTCTTGCATTCAGCTGCTGTCAAGAGTGCATGCTTCTGAGAGATGCTTGGTCAAGATCACTATAGAGCCTAGCATAATATATAAAGATACCGAAATTGAGCATAAGTTTTTTTCGACTGACGAGATGGCTGTTACTGTGTGGATGTCTATGGCCATGTATTTTTAAATGTTACCAACGTTCACCGTTGCTACACAGCGTTAAATGTAGTTACTTGAGAAGCACTCCTTGAACAATGAATTGCCTTTTGGCCTGCAACTGCCACGTGGCTCGTATCTGCCACTTGACTCAGTGATCATAGAGTATCCCTGCAGAGCAAAAAAGGTATGATATCTGTTCCTTCCAGTAGGAATATTAGATATAGTGAGATGTGGGCTCACGTCGAACATTCACGGGAAGTTTATTGGGGACCCCCTCCCTCTGAGGAGTGTGTTTTAGCTTTTAGGTTTGTTTTAGCTTTTAGCGTCGTCAATTGATAGATTGGGTCATCACGGAATGCATTTGCAATGTTAAATTACACAAACTACTACACCTCTTAGCCTTACATATGGCACGTAGCTGCCATAGGGCTGATCGTGTTGCCAATTGCTGTGCTCCCACTACTGGCTCGTTTAGCATGTAGATTTTAACTTGAAAGGGTACTGACACCATGTTTAAAAAACAAATTTACTGTGCCATGCAAATCTTCTGTATACACAGACGGCTTTTGAACAAGTTTGACGCTCAGCATATGCTGATAATACATCTTATTTTGATATTTAGATCAATTTTTACATGGCGAATTCACGCAGCAGCCTGGCAAGTTTTTATGATATTAGGTACCGATACTTCCAAAACGGCCGCTTGTGCATTACCAAAACATTCAATGTTGCTGCTTCTGCGTCGTTTAGGTAAAGCTATGGTGTGCAATGGCCGTGGAAACATCAGGAAAAGCTCATACTGTGTTTTGTCATCAGGGTATAGTGGGAACTAAAACTAACTTTCAAAAACGTATATTGTAATTACATTTTATGGCTGCACTGACACTTAGTGGTACAAATATAAGTGCTTTGAGGGCTTGATCATTCATTTAATGCAAGAAAATGATGACTGAAAATTTTCGTGTCACTACCCCTTTAAACACTTTTGTGTCGTGGTCGAGGGGTGTACTCCCTGTTGAGCAGGATTGGTCAAATTTTGGTCGGAGAAGCTGCGCTGTTGTCAGTGCGAAAGGAAAAAATGTTTGCGTACCTTTCTTTTGGACAATGTGAAGAACTGTCCCACCATCTAAAGCTGACCTCTAGCTTAATGCTGCCTCGCCGCGGTGGTCTAGTGGCTAAGTTACTTGACTGCCGACCTGCAGGTCGCGGGATCGAATCTTGGCTGCGGCAGCTGCATTTTCGATGGAGGCAAAAATCCTCTAGGCCCGTGTGCTCAGATTTGGGTGTACGTTAAAGAACCCTGGGTGGTGGAAATTTCTGTAGCCCTCCACTACGGTGTCTCTCATAATTATGTGGTGCTTTTGGGGCGTTGAACCTCACACATCTATCTATATCTAGCTTAGTGCTGCAGTGCCACCCGAACCTAGTGGTTTGATTTAGGCCACCCACTTTTAACGATCGGTCATCTACTGGCACATGAGTATACATGTGTATTTTGCCAAGTCATGGTGAGGAGTGTAAACAAGTACTAAAACGCAAGCGCGCCCCTTTACAGTCATACTCGGTTGAGACCTACAGGGTTGCGGAGGGAAAATAGCTTAGCATATAACACATTCTGACTCTGAGGCACTTATTAAACTTTTGAGGTGTACTGACAGCATTTCAATTTCAAAAAAAGCTAGGGAGAAGTTATATTTATTTGAAGGAAAGCTACTCTTAATTTTATACTAGTGCTTGATAAAACTGTACCGTTTAAAAGAAGTATATTATGTGCACGAGCTTCTAATACACATCTGACACTCTTCCGGGCATCCTGGCTTGCGTGGTTACAGAAGTTGAGGCCCTGCCAAATGCCGTGTTTGTGGCATGTGAGAAGGTTCATGTTGCTGGGAGTGGATGCTATAATTTGTGTGCAACCAATTACCAAGCTTGTTTGCCAGTTATTTCACGTAGGTACCGGCCCATTAGTTTAGCATGTGCAATGTGTAGAATAATTGTTCATTTGAGCTCCTCATGTTTGCATTGAAGTGTACTCAGTTTTCTGTAAGTACCCTGTGTTTCCTCTATGTACTACCACCCCCATTTTGCAAATCACATTTAGACCTTTTGGATCTGACAGAGAAGGCCAATGGTACTTGCTGCTGGGACACTGTGCTTTGAATGTGCGTGTGAAATACCTACCTCAGGCAGTGCAACCTTTTATGCATGCACCCAAATGCTTCATTTCCAGCTTTGTTAAAGAAACTGCATATAATCTTAGCAAATGCTTGATTATATTTTATTACCAAGGAAACACTCCCCTGTGCCAGTGACTGACTGATGTGGGACAAACACCTTCGATTTTTCAGTCTCACCACATATTCACTCTATAATGAGTTGAAAGCAAGGACTGGCCTTTTCATTGAGATGGCAAGTCAGGCCAGTTGATAAAGATTCATCTTGAACTTCGTTACAGCCCGTGTGTCTATGGTATTATGCTGTAACGAAGCTGCCCTTTGCGATCTCGCTCCTAACATAAATTTACCGCAGAAACTTTTTTTCTTGCACAATACTCTACCAAGCATAGACACTTCTTTACACAGAAGCCATGTCAGGTGTCGTGTTTTTATTCGATTGCGTAACACTTACTACTGAAGGTCAACAGATGGACCTCCAGAATGATGTGTAAATATGCGACATTCATATTTAGATATGCAAAATATGCTCCAAATTTGGACGATACATCCACAGCACAAAAGAAGTTAATGTTGAATGGTGATTCATCATTCATTTTAAAGTTTTCAAGAAGAGTGCATGTAGTGCGACACTCTTGGAGTTATGAGTCCAAAATGCATTGCAGTCATATTAAACCCTTTCAAAGTGCGACATCAGAGTCGCGACAGCTTCAGACTCAGACTTCACAGCCCAGAAATACTGATGTCACAGGAGCATGTATTATGGATTGATAAAATAGTGTGCCTAATTGTACACTTAGGATAGATTATGTGTGATGACGATTGTTAACTGGACAAATCTCTTCATCTTTACTAGAAAACGAACTGCACTAATGGCAAAGGACAGTGGGCAATGCTCGCCTCATGCATTGTCCCATTTAATTTTCACTCTTCCATTTTGTGCTGTAAAGACATCCACTATGAGATTCTCGCATTATGGCTTGTCCATGCAACATGCATCTCATGCTTCTTGTAAAGTGAACTGAACTTTATTTTTTGAAGCGAACGTAAACCTATTCTTAGCCCATAACACGTGGTGTTAAAAGCATGTAATGAAGGTCCACTGCTATTACACCACGCAGACCCGATTATGATTTAGGTACGGTGGAGCTTTGTAGATGCTTTCTCTTCATGGGAGAGGCTTGCGTGTGGCACATAAAACAATTTGATGTCTAGTAACCTTATTGTTTGGTCTAGCGTGCTTTCTGTATGGTGCGGCACAGCGTTTTGATTCCATGTGTGTTGGGCTTAAATTGAGGCAGGGATCAAACTGTGATAGCAGGGACTTGGATGCGCTTGCTGTGTGAGCTCGAATAGGAGCCATAATTATTGAAAGGCACCTTGCCATAATGCAATGTTAGATGAAATAGAAATGCACTCGGCTGCTAGAAGCAGGCTGGTATCTAATACTTGAAGATGTTGAATGTTGTAATTCTAGCTGTTAGCGATACGAAAAGGACCCGTATAATGTGCTCGATGCTGCACTTTTGTTTGTCTTTTTATCTATTTTTCACACCAGCAGCTCTAATAGCTTAGCGACTGTGATGTTACTCTGCTGGGCATGACTTTGTGAGTTTTCCATCTCGTCACGATGGGGCCACGTAGAGATTAGGATATATTGTAAAGATGTGCGTTTGAGGAATCCTAGGCAGGAATTATTACTCTACGGGCAATCTCGTTTGGGGTTATCATCGCTCTCTTGAGATTTTGCACGATAATGCAAAAGTGTTTTATGTGTAAGGTTATGCTCTTGCTTTCCATAAAAACATGGTACTGCCAATGTGCTGTCAAATCATTGAGAAGGATTTCATCTCTACTGTGTACTAATCTATTCAGCTTGATGCCTCCAAGCCTAGTTGACTAACCATTTTACTTTTCTGGTCCATTAACTGTCCAAATAACCACCACCAGCACCTATACACCAGTCTATTACACCAGTCTTTTGCCTCTTTTTTGTTATATAATTTGCCAGGACGGACAATTCCACTTCAGCATATTTCGATGGTCAGCTTTTTTTCCCCTTGTAACCTGCTTGTACTGCCTGGAGACATCTTTAAAATCTTTAACACATCTTAAATACATGTCTTTAGACATCTTTAAATAGGCATTATTTAACATTTTCATTTGCCCAGACGTGTCCAATCTATACTTTTATTTTTTAGTGATTCCTACTTGCATTGCTGCATGTTAGTTGAGGCATGTACCATTCACTTTGAGCTTGTCTAACTTTGTAACATTGTGGCCGACGTAAGTATTGTCTAATTTGATTTTAGGGCATTTACCAGAAATTTTATAAATGGGTTCCTGTTGCAAATGTTCTACTACAACTAATTTTGTTGAAATTAGGAACCTAACTGTAGGCATGGCATGTACTAAGTATGCAGAAGTCACACCCCTTAAAAGCCTGCACATTGTGCAGGGTAGTTGTGAGTATTGTAGTATTATAATAGTAAACCTCAATGTTACTGTCATTCTTTCCAAAGTTAATTCTAAAACCTTGACGCTACCAAACCACCTGTGTGAGAGCCTTGGCGTGTGATATATCTAGTCGTTTTCTA